CCACAGCTGCCTGGCACCATCCGTGTCGGTTGCCTGAATGAGAGGGAGAATGCCGATGGCGTAGAGAGGCATTGCCAGTGGATCCCCTTGTGTGGTGCCCTCGCTGGAGGAAATGCTTTCACCGCCAACAAATAGGCGACTCGGGCTTCTGTACGAGTTGATGGCCACCGTTGCCAGCGCAGGGCACAGATGGCGGACGTTACGGAGACATACGCTGCGGTTCAGGTTGTTGAATGCGTTAGCCGCATCAGCCATCAGAACACCATCAGTGTCAGGGGAGCTAAAGATGTCGGTCATTGCGTGGACTGCGGCTTCGATGCCACAGTCCTGACCTGCACATAGCTGCAAGCTTCCTGCTGCCAACTGGATATCCCGACCAATGACGGAGAGGATGGACTTTCCGATTATGCGGCGTAGAACCTCGCCAATGCCAATGGGGCGAATACCAGGGCGTTTATCCAGGGGAACCAGTCTAGAGGCCAGGTAAGCATCAATGGATTGTGGGTCAACGAACTCCGTGGCCAGACGCCGAGCACGAAAAGCAAGAGCATCGCATAGACCATCGGAAGCATCCGAGAACATAGTACACATCCACCTCCACGTTTCCGCATTGACTCCCATGGGCCTGCGGCACCGTGGGTATTGAGAGCGGCCCTCCTGACGACATCGCGAGTCAGCGCCTCAAACATCACGGGGTGTGGCAGTGGGGGTGGATTCTCCTGTATCAGTGCGTCCGGACACAGAGGGGCGCTGTCCGGGTGCTTTGACTTCAGAGCTTCTCGTACAGTGGTGCCTGTAGCCTCGTCCGCCAGGTCATCTAGGTCTAGCAATCCCGCCGAGGTGGATTCGTCGAGAAGACTGAGTGCCGATGTGATCTTGCCTTCAGTGACCCGGGAAGCAAAGGTCCTGGCCCGATCTCCGGTCTTTATCTGCATTTGGCTATAGTCTTGCGAGCGTTTACACAGTTGGATCTGGATTGTGCGTCCCTCGTGGCACAACTGGTCGATTTCGCCTTTGTTCCATTGCTCAAGACGTCGCTTCAGGAGGGCAGAGTACTGAGGCTTCGAGTTACATGATTGTTGAAGGAGGAGTTGTTGAAACACCATTGCGACCTTCAAGGCAATGCCGTCAAGCAGCCTTCGTTGGCGAAGTGTGAGAGGTATAGTCGCAAATTCCGACTCGCAATTGCTCAACAAATGCTCTACCCACTGATCCTCTGGGAGGGTTAAAGGCATTCGGGCGGAAGTGCACCGCTTCGTCATATGCCTCCACTATGGCGGCCAATGAGGCTGCCTCACTCAATGACTATGTACCCAGTGTGAACCCTGCAACTGTGCCTGTGGCTCCTTGACCTTGGTACCCTGGTAGGTCATGATTCTCTGCAGTCTAGTGCAGAGTGTGACGGGTCGGTGGATCAGCTGCATTGGTGCCCTGGGCCTGGTCCTGGGACAAGTCCGGCGAGACTGGCTAGGAAACGACTTACGTGCATCGTTTCCCCAGGTCAGGGTCGTGTCCGTCGAGCTCAGATTCTCATGCATGGTTTCACTGGATATTTCTGGATCTGGCTCTTGCCGTCTTGGGTGATGGCCAGTGCATTTGCATCTACAGCTGCACGACACTCTACTCCGACAGCACTCAGCAGCAGCAGATCAGCAGTGCGTCCGTGAGGTCTATGCCTATCGATGCGGCCGGCGCCCTCAGCGCGTACAGAACGCTGTGTGCAGTGTACATGGTGTACGTATGTACATGATTGTACAGTACAGTGCTGGCAACTGAAATCCGACCCCCTGAGCGCGGTGCGCTCACATCGCAAAACCCAACACGGGCTAGTAAGGCCAAAACAAAAAATAGGCTTGTTTCCGGTCGGCAACCCCTCAAAAAGGAGACTCGGTCGGCCGGAATGAAACTTTTTTTGGATACTTTTTTTTGGTTCCTCAATCGTTGTGGTATTGATGGACAAGAGCACCTACACATGTACATTGTACATACATCATGGCAAGGATCAATGTCAAAGTTGACTGACTCACTGTTCTTGTACAGCATGTGGTGTATTCCTGTTTTCGTACATCCTGAGAAATCAAGCAAACAGTTCGAGTCCTTCCAGCTCCGTTATTCTAGCTCGTATCGACCCCGGAGGTTTTCGAGCCGACAGCTGAGAATCTCTGCTACCTTGTAGGTGTTTCGATTGTGGAATTCGGTTGAGATTTGACTGAGTTATGACTCGTTGAGTGCACTTGCACACATGGCATTGCCACCGTTTGTATACATTTGGGACCAAAAAAAAGTTTCAGAATTTGGGAAAAAGTGGCCCGGTCGGGCGACCGGAAACAAGGTCATTATTAATTTTGTTTTGGCCTAAAAGTAAAACTACGAAACAGAGACCGCTAGAATGTGAACCCACAGCTCAGGGGGTCGGATTTCAGTTGCCAGCGCTTTACTTCACTACAAAGTACAATGTCATCATGGTCGCATGCATGCAGCATAGGATCAACATTGTTGCACATGTACAGCGCATAAATGCATGTGTGTAGATCTACCGCTTATCCGTGCACATGGTACACTGTCATGGACATAGAAATCCGGTCGTAGGTCTGCGCCCCCCCCCCCCCCCCCCGGCCGTGCACCATCCTACCATTATGGTAGGATGGTGCACGGCCGGGGGGGGGGGGGGGGCGCAGACCTACGACCGGATTTCTATGTTATGACAGTCAGTATGTAGCACGCGTGTGGCCATGCGAGCGACGAGCGTCCCATCATTATTACGGAGGATTAGCAAGACGAAATTCGCGTTCGCGTTCGCACTCCAAGGAAAGTCGAACTCAGTGACGGAATTCGCGTTATGAGAAGGATTAGCAAACAGAATTCGCACATGCATGACGTTGATACGACGTACATCATGTACATTGTGTACAGACAATACAGCGTGGTAAATGTATGACTGCCCTGATGACACGAATCCGCGATTCGTGTTTCGACTACTTTTCCGAACGAAAAATGCGAAAGTTCGCAATCCAGTTCGTGAACTCAGGTAACTACTACTCTCCTTACTGATTGCTTTTGCCTTCGTTCTACTTCTACTCGTACCAATTCCTGCACTCGCTCCCAGGTATCTTCGTCTGTGACTCTACCCAAGGCTAAAACTCGTTTCGGTCTCTTTTCAGTTTCTTTCATCGGTTCCGACCGTTGGAATGCCCTCCCTGCTGCAGTCCGCTTATGCTCTTCCCTGCATCTATTCCGTAATTCAGTACTTTCATTTCTAGGGTACCCTGTAAGAAGGCCTTAGGCCTGTGGGGATTGCCCTATCAAAAATTTGATAATAATAATAAAATTTGATAATAATAACTGAAAAATGTTTGCGAACGCGAACGCGAATTTCGTCTTGCTAATCCTCCGTATTATCATGATCAGTGGCCCATCACGTAGATCTACATAGTCATTGTACTAGGGATTCCAGTCAAAATTTCAAATTCATAATTCAAGCTAGCTTGTTCTTGGACAATGTCACCGAGGAAATGAGAAATACTATGGTACCAATTTTATCAAAATCGGTCCAGGCATTCGAAAGTTATAGCCATTTTTCTACAGCGAAATGGGTGAATTTTTCTCTGGCGATCAAATGGGAAATCGGCTCAAAACATGGTCAAACTACTGCATAGCCACCACCTAGCTACATACATTTTCACACGAATCAGATGAAATTTTGTCACAGGTTACAGCCGGCCTCTTATCCTTGCCTTGAGCGGATGACATATGCACGCTTCGATTCGGCGAACCTACCCGTACCCCTCTTCTTCACACCTCTTTGGCCGACAAGGACCTCAAGTCACCAGCACGGCTTTGGCCATTGCCGACAAGGACGGCAAGTCACAAACACGCCAATGTTGATGTTGCCGATGCCGTCTTCTGCAGAGCTTGCAAGTTGCGAACTAAATCCAGAAGACGCTGTCGATGGGAGCTGGGATCAGGCTGATCATGGTGAGAGATACTGCATCAGCTCCAACACCAACCAGTTCGATCGGTAATGACGGCAGCTCACTGTTCTCCGCCAGCGCACGAGTCGTAAATCCAAGCCGCCGCCTGTTCTCCTTGTTCCTCGCAAACAGGAGATAGTACAGAATCGTGTACTACGTCGTGCTCACTAGGCACAGCGCAATCCTGGTCTTCGTGCTGCTTGATACTCGCGATCAGCTGACTGCGCTGGGGGTAACACCTAGTTTCTAGTGTAGATCTACTCTTCTTCCTCGCACTTGAAAAAATCGCCATGTCGGAGGTGCTTTTAGTCCTACTCGGCGCACTCAAATTTTGTTGCGCTGCTCTACCTTGCTTGAGAAAAACACCGGCATGGGTGATTCCGAAAGGTTTTTGGGTGCTGAAGCTGAAAATCGGTTTAAGAATCCCCTAAGATGCCATTTTAGACTTGAAAATCGCCTTCAATTTCTTCTTTGACTGATCGCAATGGCCTAATTTCGCCGCACGGCGATCAAAAACCCCACATTGGACAGCTGAAAACCTCAGGAAGCCACTGGTGACTTCAAAAATCCTCCAGAACTTACGATATCCCAGCGCACTGGCCTAGAATGAGCCGTCATCGCGCGACCAAACTTTTGTGTGTAGCGCGTGGAGAAAGTCCTCGAACCCAGTCGGCCAGATCCTGGAACCCCTAATTGTACCAGTCTAAACGTAGTCTAGTACTACAGTCGTCCCTCTCTAATCCAGCACTTTATAATCCAGCACCCGCGATATTATTAAAGCCAGCACAATTTGCAGTAGCCAAAATGTCCTCTTCAACTTCATGCACGTTCTAGCAGAAAATCAGCACCCTCCCTAATCCAGCAGATTTTCCGTGGCACAAATGGTGCCGGATTAGAGAGGGACCACTGGAGTCTGTACATGCAGTCAGTATGTAGTGTCATGTGCCTGCCCTGATAACGAGTCTGTACAGCCGCGATCGAATCTGTGATTCATATCATGCGTTCCGACATCGAAAATAATTTTTGATTCCCCGGGAATGCTGCTACTACTAGTGCTAGTGCAGTGCTAGCTAGCTAGCTGCTCTCAGAAGAGACTCAAGTCAAGAGAGTCTGACGTGTGCCATGGAGTGATGAATGATTCAAGCTATCGCTTTGCCGCTTGCTCGCCATGACATGGGCCTTGCCACCGTCCTTTCCCAAGGCATTCACCCAGCACAGATCGACAGGACCGTCAGATATTCTGCTAGGTCTGCGATTCTGAGTTCATGCCTACTGCAGAGAGTGTAGCGCATCCACTACATGGCTCGGTAGCGTTGTTTCGTCAAATAGACGGCTTGGTCAGCAGCTAGCGGTGGCAATCATTTCTCCTCCTCGTCAGCTACTAGTAGATCTACTACAATAAGCTTTCGAGTCGTGTATGTTCAAGCAGTGTAAAACATGATGTAACGGCTTTGTTACGTCTCGGTTAGTGGCTGCTACTTTGCTCTTGTTTCTCGCCGTTCGCCGCACATTTACCAAGTTCTCACATTCACAGCGGAAATGCAGGCACCGTCCTGGTCGGAATATGCCTGCTGCCCAGTGTGCAAGCGATCCTATGGCGAAGAGAGGCTACCATCTAGCTTGCTGTGCGGCCATTCGTTGTGCTCGCAGTGCAAGAAGCACCTGAAGCGTGGGGTTTGTCCTCTGGACATGACCGACTTGCAGATGGATGTTGCGAAAATACCTGTCAACATGGCCCTGCAGGCTGTTGCTTTGAGGGACACGGACCCGTCAGAGTTTGCACGTCCATCCTCGTTCGGTGAGCGAGTGGATACACTCATCCATGGCGAGGAGCAGAACCTAAGAAAGTGTGTGGACGCCAACGATTTTGAGAGCTTTCGGGTGGCTTGTAAGAACTTGGGCCGTGTAGCAGAGCACCTCCACCCAGCGGATGCTAGGGCTGTTAGCTCTGGCTCAACGAATGGAGGCAGCAATACCCCACCGCCCATGCAGACCAGAGCCTACTGGCCCAAGCTGTCACGTCCAATGCACAAGAAACTGGCTGCACTGCTGCAAAGTCAGATGGTGCACAAAGAGGGACGTCAGCGCTTGATGAAGTATTCCAGGTCTGTAGGTGAAAGAGCATGCATGGAGATACTGCTGTTGCATCAGAATCAACAGGGCTTAGTGAATGATCTGTGGCAGGCTGTCCGTGCCTGTGGTGGGCAGTTCATGGGACATGTGCTTCAGGAGCAGATCCTTCAGGCAATTTTTCTCCTCACCTCCGATCCACGCCACGCGCTCCAGCGCAAGATCCTGGTCGAGTTTGTGCTACAGCGTCTTGCCAAGGAGTTTGACGCTGTGTCCAAGACGAACGTTGGACACGTTGTGCAGCTCATGTATCGCGCGTCGTGTTTTCATGTGAGTATAGACTGACCATTGCATCACTGTTGTACGACAATGGACATGAGGCGGCGGAGCTGTGATTGCGGCATGTGCACCGAAAAGTTTCTTTCAAATCAGCTTTCCTTGCTTGCATGCAAGTCTGGATCACGGTTGCTACATCCATTCTCATGCCACCAAAGCATGTCAATATATCTGTGTGCGCATGTGGTAGAGCTCAACAAAGAACAATGCTGTCGTTCTGCTTTGCTGTGGCACAGGTGACGAAACGGAACGGCGAGGAAGTCTCCCAGCTAACGCTACGCGAAGACGTAAGTTACCACTTGCACCGTAAAACGATAACATTGGTCATGGAGCCTACACGTATGCAGACAAATGTGCTCTGGGGATACAGCAGAGAGGAGGTTGAGAAAGGAACAAGAGACAGACAGACAGAGGCAGAGAGATGGTAGAGATGACAGAGCATGGCCAGACTCTTAGCCTTGCTTCAGAGACTGTTTTAATGGCTTGCCGATGGATAGTGATGGTGGTGAGCTAATTCATTTGTTCTTGCATTGTTGGTTGCTCTGCTTCCATTGTAGATTCAGAATTACAGTGATTTTCGTGCGCGACACGACATGCAGATTGCCCAGATCGCAATGGAAAAGGGGCTTTACATCACGCCGGAGTACTTTTCCTATCTCCTGTATGGATCCTCTTCCAAGCGCGCACACATGCAGTCGATAATGGACAAGGTGAGCCACATGGCATGGGTCTATGGGATGTGGTCAGGTGCAGTGGTGTGAGTGTGCTGATGCACTCCGGCTCTGTATTCAGATCATGACTGTGTGCTCCGAGTTACTTCTGAACAAGCTAGATTCACTAACCAATAGTAACCATTCTCTTTAAAGGTTTCTGCTTGACTGTTCTGCAAGCTGAAGCGTTCCTTGGGTTTTTTTGTTTTGCTTCCTTACAGCTGATTACAATGGAGTACTTCAAAGACAGCATCGAGAAGGTTGTCCTTGTTGCAGCCAGTCAAGATACAGAAGAAGCAAGCCGGATTGGTCAACTCCGACCGAAGTTTGATGTCTTGGAGAGCATCACCCGTCGCAAAGGTACAGTTTAGTGTCTGCTATCTGTTGTGTCATGTGGCGCCGCATCTTCTGCTGGATTATTATATTCCTGGCGTTAGCGGCCGCCGTGAGTTCCCTAGGGAATGGAGACAAGCATTTACTTTTTTCGGGCTGTTGTGTCTAGAGTGCGGGCCTCTCGCGGCAATATACCTAAGGATCCATTTTTTTCCTGTACTGGTGATAATAAAATGAATTATTCTGTTCCTGTGATTCCCCTCCCAGATGGGGACATTGGCATGGAGGAAGTTGGTCAGGTTTTGGATTCCGTTGCCTGTGTCCTGACTGAGCTTGTGCGCCATCCCAAGGTAAAGTTGCATTGCCAGAAAACGGTTTAATTTGAGGGTTGGCGTTTGCTTTGCGTGCATTTAGTAGGTAGAAAATCAACTAGCATGGACCCCAAGTTAAGGCAGTGTGTGTAATTCTACATGAACTAAGGCTGCAGACATTAGTTAGCACTTTGGTTATGTTGCCTTCACACATAGTCACACACACACACACACACACGCACACACACACACACACACACACACACACACACACACACACACACACATACCCACGCACGCACGGTACGGTGCATTCATAACTTCATAAGATCCCATTGCTGAAGAACAGCATGACATCATCTTTATTACACCTTCTATCTGACTAATGGTCTTCTTTGCCTGTTGTGTTTCTGCCTTGTGTTGTTGTTGTTGTTGTTGTTGCTGCTGCTGCTGCTTCTGCTGCTGCCGCTGCTGTTCTTGTTGCTCTTGTTGTTCTTGTTGTTGCTGTCCTGGGCATGGCTGTTTCCTTCTACCCATGATGTTGATGTCTTTTCAGTACAAGGTGAGATCACAAGCTACATGTACTCTGGTACTTGAAGGGACACACTGTTACAATGTACTGTCTAGGGATGCTGCCGCGGGTTAACTTGGTGCATGCTGCCCCCCCCCCCCCCCCCCTCCCCTCACTCTAAATTCCCCAACTATTATGATTATGATAAAGCACTTGCAACACCGCTCTGGGGGGGGGGGTCTCCGACAGTGTTGGTGCAGATCATGATTGCTACATGTGCCGCTGTGCTGTGTGATGCCCTGTGGTACTATTGCAAGGCATGAATCTGACTAGTCTCTGTTGCTTGCATTTATTCTTCTGCGGACCAGGGCTGGATTGAACAGATTCGCCATAAAACCAAGGGATCGGTAAGCTTCTAGTGCCTGCTGTTGTTGACATAAGGTGTGCAGTGTAGTGCTATTTGCACAAGGAAATGTGTGAGTGCCCATCGAAATGTGTGCAGAAATGGTTGGCTACTTTCAAGGACTTGATCGGATTCAGACGCATGACTTGTTGAGAGCTTCACTCCATACTGTGCCTGCAGTGTACTTCAGTACATGTACTGACACTGAATATCTAGGCGGCCATATTGGGGAAAACCAGGCCCTTCAGACTACTCGTGAAACCTCTGCGACCACTTGCCCCCACTGGAAGAGATGCGTTCCGTATCCTGTTCTCTAGAGTGGGTGTGATTGGCATGTCAACTAAGTGACCGGTGGTGTGTATGCACGGTTGTATGTACATGTAAGTTCAATGTATTGTATGTATGTATGTATGTATCAGTGTCCGTGTGTACAATTGTGTACTGCACCTATCAACTCATACACAGGCTTTTATTCAAAGATTAGTTTCCCTGAGTGTGTAGAAGTGGTTTGAGGATATGTGTTCCAGCATCACTGGTATGTCAAGTCCTTGATCATAATCTGTCTATTGTGCGGCTTGTGTCCATGGACAGACCAAAGTGGGCAAGACTCAAGCGATCAGCTCCCGTTCTGCTGCTCCAACGGATGACCTGCTCCCACGTGGTGGAGGCGGGCGTTCGCGTGACCCTGCAAGATCAACTCCAGCAGAGCACCAATCACACCCACCACCATCCAGCAGGTGAGGAGCAACTGAGCGAGCCAGTGCTTGATAACGACCTCCCAGTGTGTTGAATATCAGTCGTTAAAAAGCAGTCTGCAGTGCAAGGGGGGAGGGGGTATTTAGTAGACCACATTGATAGTGAGTAACACAATTATGCATGAGCTTGGTGTTCCCGTCCAGTCCCCTTCCCATGTATACCTTGATACAGTTATTTCCTGGTGGTTTTCCCACTCACTCAAGTGCTGGTGGCTGGGAAATTGTCAAGGAGATCATACAGGCTGGCTGTAACGTTGTACCTGTACACCCATGACTATACTGCTGTCAATAGTAGGCTAGGCTAGAGTGTGTATTCACGACAGTAACAGGTCACCTTGAAATCTTGGCAGTGATGCATTGGTGACGCATGACGGGATATGTGTGATCAGTGTTGAGTGGTGCAGTCTTACGTCTTTCATTGCTAATAAGCACATTTCTTTCCTTTATTGATATGTGCTCCAATGCAACAGGCCAGCAGAGCAAGCAAGCGGTCGTTTGAGTTCTGGCCCAAGAGGCACTGACCTACATGTGCTTGATTCCCAGCCCCAGTACTACCAGCAGCAGCAGCAGCAACCACATTCGGACTTCAGTCAGCTTGTCGCACGTGGCTCTGGTCCACACGTTGCGTCTGCTCATGCCGCATACGGTGCGGGTACACAACCATCGCACCCATCCTCTAATGCCATGCCGTCGCACACCAGCTCTCGGTTCAGACACGCGCCACCCTCCAACGGTATGCACATGCCACAGCCACCACCGCCACCATCCCACATACACATGCACCACCATCCTGAGCAAACCAACTCGGCTAGCGGAGGCACAGGCTCCGCCGTTATGCAGCACCACCAGCAAGCACCGGCAGCGCCACAGGCCATGCACGGTATGACGCTGATGTCCGACCCTGCGTCGCATGCACATATGAACTACAGCCAGCAGTACCAGCAGCGCCCTCCGCCTAGACACCCGGCACAGAATGTAGTCCCAGGAACACTGTGGCAACCAGACTTGGTCGATCCCAACCACATGCAGATGGGCATGAACTCATCAGCACAGCCGCATGTGCAATATCAAGCACAAGCCGAACCTGCCTCTGCAATGCCTGCTCGGCACATGGTGTATGCTGCCACGCATCAGCACCACCAACCTCGGCAGCAATACCAACTTCAGGCCGGCTATACATCGAGCGATGTAAGTTCACGTAACTGCTGCGGCCTTGTGGTTGCACTGCAACTCTCATTTAGATAAGATTGGTTGAAAACATGGATGTTGAATGGTGTAGGGTATTAGGTGCGTTTAGCTTGCTGGAATCTGTTGATACTATTTTCATTTGTTGTACTTCCGGCAAAGTCACGATGCACTATTAAGTAGTACCTGACTTCTCAGTACATGCCAGGCTGGTGTGGATACTGTCTAACAGTTACTCTTGTGTTGTGGACACAGTGGAGGATGTACACATTCATTCAGTTTCAAGTCATTTCGTTTGTAGAAACCATGCTCTTATCTGTATTTCTTGTACCCTGCAGTATGAGGCAAGAATGGGATCGCAGTTCAGCGATGGCGGCGCACCGAACGTTTCCGCACCCAATAGTATGATGCCTGGCAGCCAGCATCCTGCACACCACCAGCAGCAAATGTCCAGTGCTCCGCACGCCATGGGACAACAGGCCGGTCAGTTCTGGTCACCCAGTCATGCTGCCGCCGCTGCTGCTGCACCTCATTCAGACACTGACCCTGTATCTGGTATCCGCTATTTGCGGCTTGAATGATTTAAAAGGTTCTAGTGTTATTGTAGAATCGTGAACTGCTCGGGAGTCCTTGATATAGAATGTCTCTTTACTGCAGCCCGTTAAACCAATCTTATAGTCCTAATGCAAAAGCTTAGACTCTCCCCACAAAGCAGATGTCAACTTCATCTCAAACTCTACGGAATAACCCGCGCAAAGGTGTGTTATCCATAACTCATCCCGAACGGTATGTTTTGTTATCAGAGATCATATTGATCGTGTCCAGGTCTGTCCTTATCACAGGACGTGTTGCTGCTCGCTACACCTCCTTACAAGACTATTAACTTTATATTGATAACCGTGGTGCATACCCGCTTGCAAACATCATGAGACGAACGTGTGCATACCCGTACTTGAATTATTTGACTATTTCAATAAGTTTTCTTATTGCCGTAAATAACTTGATTAACTCCGTTTTCAATTTTGAATTTGCGGCACTGATTTCAGTCTTGTAATTATCCGTCCTCAATGTCAATAATATACAGATTTGGTATGCAATGTATTGCTCCAATTTTTATGATTTGTGAGCTGTAGACTTAAGGGCACTTTTGAGATAAGGCTGCCCGTATCCTATTGCAATTCCAATCAAATTATTTGTAGAATTTTTTTACTGCTGAGAAATGTTAAAAAAATATATACGAGTACCTACAAGTTGTAACCTGCTTACGGCCTCCATGTATTCCGATGAGCTGGAGCCTACTAATATTCCGTAAGTTGTGTTGCTCAGCTGTGGCTTTTGCCCGATGCTGCCCTTGCTTTCCCCATGGTGGGTGCGCTATTCACTACTCCCCTGGGCTTTGTTTATGCAAGAGCTTCCTGCGAGTGCGATACCCCACCCACGGTGTGTGGTGTGGGCCACGACCATAGCATTGTCAGTGTAGCAGCTGTTCACACTGCATGGCCATGTACTAGCAGGTATACATCCATGTAACATTGTTATTGTGGGTGGATGGACACAGTAGAGCTAACTTATTACTAGTAGATGTTTCCAAAGACGCTGGCCTAGCGGAGAAAGCAAGTTCGTTAGCACTCCAATGCATAGTTATCTCTGGCATTTCCTCATTCACCGGGTGTTGCTGACTTCAATATTCCCAGGGAACAGAATGCTCATAATCGCTGTGATCATAGTGCTCAGTGTGCCTGGCTCAGTGGCTCATGAGCTCTCCACCATCTGATCTATGGGCCAGTCAACTGTACCCGTGGTGTCTATCACCTTGAGTGGTAGTGGGGTTGAGAGGTGCAAAACAATATAATCCAAGTGTGACCTAATTGATGCCCAAGTGGATACCAATACACAAAGCATCTGCTACTGCATACATGTCGCGGTACTACAGCTGTACTAACCGCCTACATGTTACTTCCCCGGGGTAGTACTAGTGGTAGGTCAATATGCATGTATATGTTGCACTGCACAAAGCAGTACTAAGTAGTAAGTACTGTACTAGTAATAGTTAGTTGTGTGACTTGTATCTGATAAAATGTTAATAAAATCCCATGCTTACAAACATTATGATTCACTCATGCAGGACTCTTTATTGTAAATGCCACGCGCCATGCACTGCATACTACACGCCATTACTGTAGTAACTAACTAACTACTTGTTACTTGTATGCATGTACAGTGCGCATTCCCACAGTCATGCAGTTGCCAAAGTCATAGATTCCTCATATCAGGTACAATACATGATTGTACAAGTACCTCTTTGCCAACTGCCAAGTAACTATTTTAGTAGGATCACCAGTCAATGCTGTGCAATCTGCTTCTGATAGAGCTGCTTGGCTCGAAATTGTCAACAGATGCGTTGACCTTACGCAATGAGTGATATGCGAACTGTCATCATTATTATTATTATTATTATTATTATTATTATTATCATTATCAGTCAATGAGTTGTTCCTAGGTCACAAGCCTGTTACTACTACTAGTGTTTAATAGTTATCAAAACTTGGGTGTTGCCTGTTCAGTGCTAGTGGTGGGGTTTACCTGACTCGGGATGTTCTAGTATTAGTAAATGAGACAAAGACTTGAAAGTAAGGATGTTGATCGACACCAAGGCAACCAAAATGGACTCCAGACACTGGTAACTTTGGTAATGATTATGTCACACCACTGGGAGTGACCTGACTGACACACCGGTAGCACATGTATACCGTCAGTGTTGGCGTTATCATCCACCAGTCCAGGGTTGATTATTATCGTGATTTGTTGCATTCATATCAGATAATCTCTTGCATATACAAAATGTACACTGTGTACATAAGTATTGTAGGCTGCAAACAATCTTGTACGATTGTGCATGCGTGTTTCAGAGACGGTGTAATCAATACTAATCATTCACGTGTTGAGGCCGAGTCAAGGCACCTGTTCTGCGGCCGGCATTGTACTGGGGATCCTGCATATCTTTCTCCAGTTTGACTTTCCCTTTTCTTTTTTACAAGATGCACAACTCCCCAGCGGGCGCACGGCCTGGCTAGCATGATGTGAGGCAGTCCTAGTGGGACCTGCCATGCCGCGTCGGCAGCCGGCCAGAAGTCTCGGCATCTTTGAATGGCTGGCCACACCAAATTGAGGGGAATGCATAAGAAAAGCGAAATGAAAGATTTAGAATAGAGTGAGGACCTAGTTCGAAACACAACTGTCGAATGAAGGAAATTTTGACCCTGTAAAATCATAGCCAGTGTACGTCCGCTGTGTCATGATATGTCCCTGATGCACGCTTTGCAGAAGTGATACTGTAGTGTCGCGTATAAAAGCAGGTGCTTACGGCCGTATAAGCCGGTGTTCAAACCATGCTTCTATTCAAGTTATCATTCAAAACAGTCATGTTTCTATGTCAAAATCTTCAGTCTACACTGTACAGTGCACATTGTCATGCATGTAGTGTGCACATACATGTACTTGCACGTATGCTTCTATTCAAATCCTGCTTCTATGTCACGGCACTCTTCAAAAATTCCCCCCCTCCCCCCCCCCCCCCCCCCCCTCCCGAGGGCTGTATTATACTGTAGTCTTGGCCCAGTGTCAGGAGTCTCAGCACAAGGAATAGTAACCACTAGATTTTATTATCCAAACTGATGGTGTCAAGAACAATGACTGTGATATGACATGTTCTATTGCTTCATCAAAGGCGGGTTATGAACAATCCAAACTGTGGCCGGCGATGGTCGCCGGTGCCACGATGTGTATTGTATGCACTCGAGCTGTATAGTGTATAAGTACAGTGCACTTGCACAGTTCTACTCCTGTAAGTGGTCACTGCGCCATAATGGTGGTGTTTCCACTACCATACTTGCCAACCCAGCCAAAGCAAATCCCTTAGTCGCACACCCAGTTTCCCTTAATTTTCTCTCATTTCCCTTATTTTCCTCGTTTTCGCCAATTATTTCGGCCATTTTCTCTTTTTTTGGGCAATTTTTGATTATTTTTGCGTATTTTCCGCAATTTTTGGCAATTTCTTTCTTTCTTTTTATTCGTTTCTAACCCATTGTTCATTGGGGGACCAAAACCTGAGTTTCTTTATTGTCAGATCACCCCTACATGTGTGATTCTGTGAAATGCAGGGCCGCATATGCCCTTGTCACACCACAAAACAACCTTTTTTTATGAACACTCATGGTTCAGTGCCAATACCAGTAGTTTTTCGATCAAAGTCAAAAAGCCCCGGTATGCCGGTAGTGACCATAGTTTCCCGGTATAATACCGGGAAAACCGGTATGGTTGGCAAGTATGCACTACACACACCGTGACGCACACACACACCACACACACACACACACACACACACACACACACACACACACACACACACACGCTTACGGATGTGTCCCCTCCTCATCAATATGTACGTACCCTCTCAAAGTTGTGCTACCAACTATGTTACTGATCTAGAATTGTACTGGAATTGAACGCTATTTAATTGCGTAGAGGAGTCGTTTGTGTCGTCAAAGGAGTGTGTATTCACTTTCATGTCTGGCATGTACATTCTCTCTTGTTGTCCAGGGTTGCTGCACTGTCTATAGTTGTAATTCTCACTGCTGGCGTATTCGATGTGTGTGCACGCTTACAGATTCATATATCAGATATCTATCATCTGCTGTTTATTTTCAACTGCAGGTAAACGTCTCAATTAAATATCGTCATCAACGCTGTGCACAGAAGTGTGATTGTCAGCGTTGTCGCTGATCCTTTTTTCATTTTATTTAACTCAATAAAGTAAACATTTTAACAACAACAACAACAACAACAACAACAACAACAACAACAACAACAACAACAACAACAACAACAATAAGCACGATTCCCAATACATGTAGCACTTTCTGCGATGCGCGACATGCAACATATGTTTGCGACAGTACGTGGTAGGCATTTCCTTGTCGAATGTGTTACATTGCCGAAAGTTATACCGGTACTGTGAATCATGCTTGATCCAACTTAAAGTTTAGTATCTATCCTTATATTTGTTGAACAATAATGGGTAATCAACTTCTCTCATGTCCATTTATGCTCCAGCTCTTGGGTGCATACTGTATACCCACTGAATGATCTACATTGTAGTACAATATCAGTTTATGTCTGTTGATATGTTTACGTCCAAATAATTATATTCAATATTATTTTCACTTCAGCACACAAGGATTGGAAGCCTACAAACACCCTATTATTATTCTTTAGGGTGTTCTTCATTGATTTATTGAAAGATCTCACCTGTTCAAGACGTTCATGTCGACTTTGAGACCGACTTTCGCATCGATGTCGGCTATCGTACAGTACTTAGAATAAAATTAATGATCCCTACCACCCGGGCGCTTTCTATCGCGTTGTCTGAATTCTCCTGGAGGCAGGGCATTGCCAACATGATTACCTTTCATATGAAACAGTAACTACGAGTACTACTGTAGTAGACTATACTACATTTGAAATTATTTCTCGATCTTGAAATTGAGAAAGTTTCCCGGCAAAAAACCACGAAATCGGGAAAAAATGTAAAAAGATATGATTTGAAATGCCAATTAAATAATTATAATACGGTATTAATATTGTAATTACTTGATGAATGAGCTATCAGTGAGCTACAAAAACAGGACACGATTGTATTTCCAGATGCGGTATTGACGTCCGTATTCTTGAATCTGATGGTTGACGTCCTTGTAGGTGGTGTTGTAGCTTCGGCTTGACATGAACGCAGCGTACGTGTGGTGGTAACGTCGGGTGTGATATGTGCCAAACTGGGCATCACCAATGATGTCTGCGACTTCCAGCAAATCAACAGTCGCTGGGTCTTTTTCGTTTGACGGGGATCCTGGAACCACGGAAAAGCGAGCACACCTTGATCATTACTATTACTTTGGTGAGTGCATTTCAAAGTGTTGAAGCCTGAGGTTGGTGTGAAGAAAATAGAATTCTCATATGTACTTGATTGGGTTGCTATTTTCACATGTTCAAAGACAGAAGAATATTACAGGTTTTTTTAAGAACTTATTACAGGTGTATAACATGTTATGCTCACATACACACGATACATAAATTGATAATTCATATGGGTGGCGGGATGGGTGCCATGTTTCCTCAACAGTCCATGCAACGGTGTGACCTTTGTGATTGTGGTACTGTTTTTTACTAGGGAGGTTGCGCACAACGAAAATTCGTAATATTTCGACCTTCCGGGTTCGAGTAACGAAAGTTGCTACGAAGGTCCGTCCAAACGTGACCGAAACAGAGCAGATCTACGGCATTATTTTTCGTAACGTGGAGTGCTAAAATACTGATATTTTACAACTCCCTGTCTTGACTCTCTGTACCCGAGCGCGCTCGCTGCGTCGACCTACTACGAAAAGTTCGCACATTGTGCGTAACCTCACGGTTTACGAATATTCGTTAGCTTTTTTCGTTAAAAAGTTTCGTTACGGAGCTACGAATTTTCGTTGTGCGCAACCTGTCTAACTTTGTTGTAAAGCAGGTTGATGGTTATAGCAATATTATACCACCTCTAGTGATGAACCTCCCTGAAACTAATGAGTGTACAATCAGACCTCGCTTATCCGGTCCTCTTTTATCCGGATCCCTCGCCATCCGGAAGAAAATCGTTGGTTACCAATTCACAGCATATGTCATGCATGCATGCATTATGTGTGTTCGATTATCCGGTTCCCTCGCCTATCCGGATATTTCTGTGGAAAACGGATGTGTGCGGTTAAGCGAGGTCTGACTGTATACAGTCATGACATTGTAGTGATGAAGCTCACGCTTATTCATTTTATTTTCGCTTGCCATCATCATAGTGCACATACAGTCTAGTTCCAATAAGTCGCACACTCAGTTCTGGGTACAACATGATAATTGTAAAATAGAAGAAAACACATGGGAACGAGTTATGAAGCGACTATCCACGACTGTAACAAGATAATAAGCTGTCAGAACGTCACTATCATTATCCGAGAACATGATAATTGTGCAACTCTTCACGATTGCGTGACTTACAGATTGGATACTTCTGTCCCTATCGTGAGTGCATGACTTTAAAGGGCGTGACATTCACGAGTTGACTGTAAGGCCAAGCCAAAGTATATACTTGATGATCATCCCCGCCCGCCTCAAATTTGGGGGCCGCCCGGGATTTTTTTATTTTGTTCGGAGGTCCAGTGCAGTCTGTACGTACGGTGACTGAGCAGTTTCACATTTTCGCAGTGAAACCTGCCGGGAACATTGATTTTGGTCCCAAATGATCACATGCTTTTGGGTTGGACTTGGCATGCACTCGTTGTACCGTACAAAGTGACCATGGTGACTCGTAGATGTCCACACATTTTGAAGAATGCTACCAAGTTTGGCACGCTTTTCACAAAAAGTGTGCTCTGTTTCTGGAGTACTGCTTGGTTGGCATGAGGCTGCTCCATGTGCACCAGCTGTTCGATCCTGTTCTAGATCGTACCAACCGAACACACCCTCAGTGATCAAGCATTAGTGCTTTTAAAGAAATAAAAATAAAATCCAGCCGCCCTCCCCATTTTTTTCTGAAAAAAAGGAGGATCATCAAGTAATCTTTGGCTTGGCCTAATGATCACCTTCAGTATCATCAGCTATAGTCATTAGAAATGTCCCGTCATAACTCCTCCACCATAAACCTTTTTGCATCGTGGTGCTTGATTTTTAAACGCCAGACTTTTCAAGCAGATCGCAGGTCCTGTGAGAGTTCCTCATCAGCTTTGAGTTGCCTGCTGTTGCCAATTCGAGTACCCTCCTCTCCTTTGCTGGAGAACTGAGAAAATCTTTGGTTGCTAGACTCCAAAGCACTGAGGTACTGCGTAGTAGCTTGACTCATCCAGCTTGTTGCTCACAAATGATAATGAGTCTGCCAACGACTTTCACCGTGACGCCATAGTTGTAGTGTGTAACGTCAAAGTCCTATCATTCACAGCTTCCTCAAGCTAACGTTTTGGAACGACATGGACCGCGATCTGAAAATCTGGCTCTCGGAGCCCTTTTAGTTTCAAGACGGAGGGAATCCTATCTTTGTAAATGCATGTGTAGGGTCCATGAGGAAGGTAAGGCAACAACTGTTACTGCTCAGTGCTAATTTCAACGTCCTGTACGGAAGATGTAAACAGTGACCCGATCACCGTGAATGGCGTGTAGGTTTGTACGTAGGCTCAGCCTACAGCTGAGCCAAGCAGCATGTACATGTATGCACATGCACATGGTATGCTGATTCATTTGATACCTCACTTGTCTACTCCCATAGTTTGGTAATAAGTGGCCAAAGTTTTGACAAAGACCAGTGCTTTAGGCGATGCCCACAGTACCTTCAAAGTCGTTGGAATATTAGTGACCATGCTCGAATACAGTACCAGCTTTAGTCTCTCCAATACATAAGAATGTCCATTGTTGAACTGTGCAATACCGTAGTGGAGAATTTGCAAAGAAAGCTATGATAGAGTGTGAGCCCAAGGAGAAGTTAGAGGTGGAAAAATAGGAATCGTGGATATTTGGCCTCAGTTGGTACTGTATCCGTTGTCAATACATTCGTCATGTATTTATAACTGCCGCATGCACACGCTAGAGCCGTGAATGACATGCCATCTTATCTCTGTACTCGGATACAGTGGTAGTTTGGGTGGCGGCATCGGATGTGGTACGAGGTGAATAGCAATTTCTGGACATGCAAATAAAATAGAGCCCCATTGGCTGTGTGTTTTACATTTTTCTTATATCTTTGTATTTATTGTATGGCCTAATCCTTCATCTTTCCAAATATGTGACAATTGCTCTTGCTGTGATCCCAGAGACTTGATAGCAGGACGTTTTGACAGGCCAATTTTTGGCCTAAATTTCAGTGTATGGAATTCTGGACATGAAAGTATAATAGCATCAATAGGCATCCTATACTGCACCATTTTTGTTATTTTTTCTATTGCTGGACTGCAGTTGGCCTCTTCACACTTCTAGCCAACAAGTCCCTGACTAAACAGCGTCTGAAGTGGAGTGCACATGGGGAAGCAAACAATTCGTCCATTACTTCTTATTTTACTCAAAATTCAAAATTCTCATGCGACATAGTACAACAAAACCCGTTGAAATGCCGCACAAGCAAAGGCTATCAACAAGGCACCGACACGAGGAGAAACTACAACAGCCCAGCTGTCAACTACGGCAAGAAAAAACTTTATCAACTCGACTGACTTGACTCTACACGCGACGAAAAATTGTTTTACTCGAAATGTCCAGAAATAGAAATTCACCTCGTACATGTTCGTTATTGGAGGTTGGATCCCGACGCAGGTGATTTGCTAACGCTCAACACCAGTACTGTATTCCTACCTAAAGTTCCATACCGTCAACAAGATTGACAATTCATCTTTACCATCGACCCGCCATAGTGCTGTTCAATTTTAAATTCTGGTTGTTGATACAGTCAGACCTCGCTTAACCGCACACATCTGTTTTCCACAAAAATATCCGGATAGGCGAGGTAACCAGATAACTGAACACACATACTGTATATGCATGTGGCATGTCAAAAGCAGTGACATCATACATACATGTAGACAGGTCCTATGCAGTACAACTGGCGTGCCCAGTATGTAAAACAAGCGAGAAAAATGACAAGTGCATGCAACTGAGTGCTGTCCGCACACACCCAGCAGGTCAAGGACCTCATTTGCTTGTACAACTCCTTGATACTAGCTTCTGCAAGCGCTAGCCAGCCACATGCAACCGGATACGACGAAGCATTTTGTACACATTTTAACCAGTTTGTACACAAAATCATGCACCGGTATGCGGATCGCGAGGTCCGGTTATGTTGTATGCATAACATATGCTGCACATCGGTAACCAGCGATTTTCTTCCGGATGGCGAGGGATCCGGATAAACGAGGTCTGACTGTAGTCATTACGTAAATCCTCACTCCATACTTGCTTGTGGCAGCTCAGGCCTGTTTCCGGCTGTTGTAACTAGAAATTGCATTTATTTGTGCTGAATGTTGTGCTGTGCAGTTAAAACCCATCTGGTCTCGAAGCAGTCTGGGACGCTCGGCTTGTTCAGAAAGGGCAGCAACAGCTTACCAGTTGCGCCGGTTCGAGACAACATCTACAATGCTACCGCTCTCTGGGCGCTTTCTGTTGCCTACAGGTATGGTATATCCACTGGTTGAATATGGGTCTGGTCAACATGCCAAATGATCTCACTGCCCACCAAAATGGCACCAACTCCATTTACGAGTACACATACACGTAAAACAAGACTGTCCTGGCAATTTAGCACAAAGTCCCAAACTCTTGGGCTATGGAACGAACTTTTGTTTTAGGTTGTGATTGTATTAGAAGCACAGTATGTTCTTATCAGCTGCTACAGTGCCGAGACAAGGGTACAGCCCAAAGCGAGAGAGGATATCCCAAAGAAATATTTCGGAAGAAAAGAGTGCATTCATCGTCAATCCCTGCATTTCTGGCGCCTTTCTTGCACTATGTACGGACCGGCCACTGCCCTGTGTAGTGATGCACTATGTACAGACCGGCCACTGCCCTGTGTAGTGATGCACTATGTACAGACCAGCCACTGCCCTGTGTAGTGATGCACTATGTACAGACCGGCCACTGCCCTGTGTAGTGATGCACTATGTACAGACCAGCCACTGCCCTGTGTAGTGATGCACTATGTACAGACCGGCCACTGCCCTGTGTAGTGATGCACTATGTACAGACCGGCCACTGCCCTGTGTAGTGATGATGTACTATGTACGGACCGGCCACTGCCCTGTGTAGTGATGTACTATGTACAGACCGGCCACTGCCCTGTGTAGTGATGCACTATGTACGGACCGGCCACTGCCCTGTGTAGTGATGCACTATGTACAGACCAGCCACTGCCCTGTGTAGTGATGCACTATGTACAGACCAGCCACTGCCCTGTGTAGTGATGCACTATGTACAGACCGGCCACTGCCCTGTGTAGTGATGCACTATGTACAGACCGGCCACTGCCCTGTGTAGTGATGATGTACTATGTACAGACCGGCCACTGCCCTGTGTAGTGATGTACTATGTACAGGCCGGCCACTGCCCTGTGTAGTGATGCACTATGTACAGACCGGCCACTGCCCTGTGTAGTGATGCACACCTACTGTGGCAGCTTGCATAGACCTTTTGCGCGTTGTACAGATGTACGAAGTTCAGTACTAGGGCGTAGGTATGTACAGACCCGGTTGGGTGTTCATTGTGTGCTATGCATGCGCATTTGACCAATTTTAGCCTCATAACTAATGGCAAACAATCCCTTTTCCAGCTTCTTCACTTTGGTTAGAACGAATGACTAGCTAGATCTTTGTCAGAAAAGGTTTTGAAAATGCCTTCAGGGCCCATTTCTTAGTGGAAATAGCAGAAAACACAATAGTGTCCTGCACATTCAACACCCATTAGGTTTTACAGGATTCTACGGGATTTCGTGCATCTGTACAACGCGCAAAAGGCTTATTGGCGTGCAGCAGGTAGACCTGATTAGTCTGTGCAGTAGGAATGGATACGCCATCATCTGCTCACTTGCATTAGGAGGTGGCATTTTGAAAAACGACACCGGTTTTGCACGAATTGTGTGGGGCGCCTTCCTTTCCAAACCATGGTCGGACTGGCCCGGCTGTCTGCTATAGTAAGTTTAGGCTTTGACAAAGTACATAGAGCTTTAGAGGTGGCACTCTGCTATACAAGTACTGTGTATGCGATATAGCTAACCACCTGGATTGGTTGTGTGCTTGCCGTCAAACTTATTGTTCCGTTGCAGGTCGTTTGGCAATGATAATGGCCGTGGCTATGAGATGCAGCAGAGTGCAGTCAAGTGCATGAGAGCCATCCTGATCTGCTACATGCAGAATGCACAGAAGGTAAGTGCATACGTGTACTGTGAAACTTCACTATTCTATACCTCCACGGCCCGTGAAATGTGTACTATATCGCCGAGATACTGTATTCTAGGTCAAATGACTGGTATAGTGTAATAGAGGCTCCTTGATAATATTACTTTATATCCCATAGTATATTCTATCCAGAGTACTTTATGCTGAAGTTTTGCTACACATGTTACTGTGTGGTACACAGTGATGATGCTGTCATCCTTCTTCTTTTGCATTGTCATTATCAATTAGATGATGTCATTTGGTTGTTGGTAGTTCATGCCCAATGACATGCGGAATGTCCTTTTTCATTCGTATCCAGCTTTCAGTTACTGTTGTCCTTGAAGCACCGTGTCTTGATCTGTTTTCATATCGTAGGAATATCCTGGTTTGCCTGTATTATTAAATGTTATTTTTCATGATGTTGTGTACTTGTGTGGGAGTGTCGTTATTGATCTACATTGAGCCTCAATAAGGTTACCATCATATTTTGTGGGTTATTCCAAGTATCGCCGAAGTCGCACCAACCTCTTCATCATATTTTGTGCTGTTCTTATTCTAGGTGGAACGCTTCAAGGAGACACAAAGCAAGGATGACAGTTTGCCTGCCTACTTCCATTATGAGACCGGCGAAGCTATCCTTGATCCGGAGAGCGATGGTCACTTGCAGGTTAGCTCCACCAGACTGAGACTGAATGAGGTTTTGACACTCTGCTGTTCACGTAGAATACAATCGTGACCAAAGAAATCCGACTCACCAGTCCAAAGTAGCGCCGCATTTCCATTCCGATTACGTCATGCACGGTCCAAAAACCCGGTCAGGGGCCGCCTGAGCTTCGGCGCTGCTTTCAGCACGTGAGTCGGACTTCTTTGGCTACGACTGTATTTGAGTAGTTCTAGTGTGCAACTGCTGCTGAAACTACACACATTCATACAGCACTCCTAGTAGAACTGCTCTGGTCAGCTAAAGATGGCCTGGCTGGTGCAGACATGGCTGTTAGACTGACAGGTGATGCAGTCAGAGCCTGACCAACCGGACTGGCTGCTCTACCCATGGCATGGCAAGGCAAGGCCAGCAGGCCGTATTTCATTAGTAGGTTCTGCCAATCCTCCACATGTTGACGACCGCATGATTTGTTCAGAAATCTGCAAGCAGGGATCTGTTTTGACAGTTTGTAATATGGGTACGTGTCTCTTGCCCTTCTTTCCCCGTGCCACTGTTTCTTGTTTTCTCCACAGATCGATGCTGTGGCTCTATATCTATTGCAGTTGGCGCAGATGACATCAGCTGGTCTGCAGGTACACGTACTGTTTTTTTTGTTTTTTGTTTTTTAAGGAACACGGCTGCCGAAAAGCAAAGGTGCCACTGACATAAAAGAAATGTCAGTGGCACCGTAGCTTTGGGCGGCCTTACTGAGTGTGCTCCATTATTCTCTAATTTCTCTTGTCTGGTATTCCCGAGTGACTGTGCTCTGATGGTGGTTCTTCTGCCGACCGGCTTTCTTTATTTCCCTGTGCTACCTGACCACACAGATTGTGTTTTAACAAAATGTTCATTGCGCTCTGTTGGGTATTTTGCAATACGCGTGATCTCACAGGTCATCTTCTCTATGGACGAAGTTAACTTCATTCAGAACCTGATTTACTACATTGAGCGCTCTTACCGCACGCCCGACTATGGCATGTGGCAACGCGGCCGTAAAGATGATCCCAGCCGCATGGAGTTGCACGCCAGGTAACTGTTATGCTTCTCCACTCAAACTACATGCATATGTAGCACTCAGTAAAGCACCAGCTCTCTATTATGTGTTCACTGTCTCTATATGTCATCACCTGTTTACTTCGTGCCTATATGGCTTCACTGCGACTTTCTCTATACAACTCCAGGTCATTCTCTATATAACTCCAGACGCGACTTTTCCTATAATATATCTCCACTCAGGTTGAGACTTTCTCTGTATGACCCCAACTCAGATTCCCAACTTCTCCATACAAAACTGACTCTTATCATGCTTGTTTTCACAGTACATCATAATGAACATGCTCGAGGCAGAAATTACTCAGCGCAAGTCCTCCCAACACTCACAATCATGCAGCACCCACTTAGCATTATACACGGCTACGCTCACATAATCTCTATCAGAATCACACACATGGCATCAGCTACAAGGCAGAAAGGAATACAGCATACTAGGTAGGTACATCAACAGAAGGAAAGCTACTGACAGCCAAGCAGAACCAGGCACAACTACCTTAACCAGTAAGAGGAAACTAGGTCAAGAGGCAGGCATGAGGAACAAAATCCTGACTGAATGCACCTTAACCAGTAAGAGGAAACTAGGTCAAGAGGCAGGCATGAGGAACAAAATCCTGACTGAATGCAAGATATCAATCACTATATCAACATAATCAGTACATCGTCATTGAAGCAGCATCATTATCTGTGGGTTGCAGGGTGCAGTCAATAACAACGACGAGAGCAACGGTTATCAACTATTGGCGGACACCAACCTTCAGGTGGACTGCTGAACATTTCAACGTCAGTTGAGGCATTGGCAGCTGCGGAAGATGATCGATCACTGAGCATACGCACAGGATACTTGCGTTGGGCTGCACTGCTGGCATCCTCCACACTGTACAGGAGGAAGTTGCCAGGTGCCGTATGGTGACCAACAACTACTTCTTTGAAGTACACCCTTGTGCCACTGTTTCTGGAGAGCTGCACCACCTGCAGCTCCATCAAGATTTGCATGCTTGACGTAGTAGACTGCCTGACCAATTCGATATTCAGACATTGTAGGTTGCCACTGGATCTCCAAAGGAAAGTCTTCAGGCTCGTCGGCCGAAGTAGCAGCAGCTTCAAGGCTAGTCTCTGTACCATGTGGACTGGACATTGGGTCGTACGCAGATGAAATAGCTGATGTCGTTTCTGCTGTAAAGATGGGCTCTGCATCATGTGGAGTAGCGTCAAGATGAGCCGGTGTCATTTCTGGTGCGTCCATGCTAGAAGTAGAAGTTGCATCAGCATCTTCACCATCGCAGTCTATGTCAATGCCGTCATCCAGCGGAATGTGCTCAGAATCCAGGAAATCTCTCTCCTCACTGGTCAGATCATTGCGTGCTGGGGTGTTGTAGAGGCTGAAGTTAGGACGCCGCAGGAATAACTCAAATGGCGTCTTGTTCTTCAGACTGCGGTGAGCTCTGGTGTTGTACACATAGTAAAAGTGACTGCAGTCTGCTCGGCCAGTCTGGTTGCTCTTGCAGGTCCTGACGCAAGAAATTCGCCAGCGTTTGATTGAATCGCTCCACGCGTCATTGACTCTGAGGGTGATATGGCCGTCCATTGACTTTCAAGGTCTTGAGTTCATTGATCACCTCTGCAAGATTTGAGTTATTGAACTCCTTGCCGTTATCGGTTTGCAGGATTCTGGGGGCCCATAACGGTACACACATTCCATGAAGACAGCAACAACGTCTTTACCTGATTTGCTTTTTATGGGCCCTCCCATGCCAAATTTTAAAAGCAGTCAACAATATTGCACGCGTACTGGAAGCCACGGCATGCAGGCAACTTGTTCTGATCCATTTTCCAGCGGCTGTTGGGGTACGTGGCCAGGATCGTCTTCCGTGCGAGGCTTGTTTTTTGCAGAGGTTGCTGCTTCCTGCAAAGCACACAGTTGACGTGTTGCTTGAACAGAACTTTGATGTTCTCACGTACAACAGGATAATATGAACAACAAAGACTTTCGTAAATGGTCTCAGCCTGTCGATGATCACGCGCGTGATCAGCAATGATCAGGTTCACCAGCGCATCCTTTGTCACACACGTCCGGTGGGAAACATTGAGTTCTGTCGATTTTACGTACAGTTGGTTGCTCTCCATATCGTACAGAAACTTGTCTACATACTGTTGCACTTTGGGATCGCTGACGGTGAGTTCCATTGTTGCAAGATGCTGGCTGATTCTACGCTTCCCCCACTTGGGGTTCTCAGCCTTCGCTTTGCAAGCCAGCTTTGTCTCCTCCATTGACACCCAAAAACTCTCCGCATTTCTGTCCTTTGTTTTGGACGAACCCCTTGTGCCCTTTGCCACTCTAATGGCATCAGTAGGGCCTGGGTCGTCGTCCATTTCCTAACCGCAACACCACAACGCTACGAGTAAAACATGGCCTACATATACTGCACTTCCATCGTAGTGAAACCTAACTGGTCATGACAAAGACAAATCCTCAACTCACCGACAAGCACCCACAAGGAGAACTTTATGCAGCGCTGTGCACGTCAACTACGCCCAAATTTTGGTGCCATATAGCGAAGTTGCGTATGTCAACTATGCCCAAATTTTGGCGCCATATAGCGAAGTTGCGTACGGAAAAAGCCATCTAGAGACAGTGACGACAAATAGAGAAATGATGCCGCACTGAGCGTAACATATGTCCTCTGAGAAAACAAACGAAAATAGGCAAATGAGCTTGTGACCGGGAATCTATCCCTTGCCCGTATCAACGCTTTGCATGTTTAGAGGAAAGCACATCCGATTCAGTATATCACCCACACCCACCAAGGCTGTAAGGAAAAAAATGGATATACAAGCGAGGGTCCCTGGTTCGGGTCCTGGTGGTGACAGTCAATTTTTTCTTCAGACTTTTCCCGTTTGTGTCTTTTCCCTCAAACCAGTTAATATACAGTCGACTCGTGATATATTAAACCAACACTATCGTGCAGGAGAATTAGTTCTTCGTAGCCGAAGTTCTTTATAACCGAAGTGCACTCAGAAAATAACGTTACAAGCAACCCGTCATGACTGGCATGCGGCACACTTTATTTACCTACAACATATGGTTCTTTATAAACCAAAACAGTTCACTATAAAGGATCAATTTTGTATTGGTTCAAACAGGGACATGGACACTGGTTCGCTATATCCCGAAACTCACTATGTGCGAGTTCGTTATAAGTGGAGTCGACTGTAGTTACAACCTTTTGCGAAATAGTGCTAGACACAGCTAGATAGACTGATAGTAACTCTTGGCCAAAGGTACTGTAGCCACGTCCAGTGTCAGACAGTGTCTTGTTGAAGAAAGCCAGTGGTCGCCACATACCCAGTAGTCGCCACATTCCACATACTGCTGCAGTACAGTGGCCACACAGGCATACATTGGTCGGATGCATCAGTCATGGCACAGATCGAAACTTGTGCCCAGGGATGGCAGAGCAGAGCGCCTGAACTACTTGTGTTACATTTCCAGTGATTGCATTCCGCATGTTCTTGTGTGCTGCTTTTTGACTGACTGTAGCTCCATTGGATTGGTGAAGGCAGCACTGGAAAGTATGAATGGTTTGAATCTGTATGGAGCGCAGGTGAGTGAGTGAATGAGTGAGTGCGTGCGTGCGTGCGTGCGTGCGTGTGTGCATGAGAGAGAGAGAGAGAGAGAGAGAGAGAGAGAGAGAGAGAGAGAGAGAGAGAGAGAGAGAGAGAGAGAGAGAGAGAGGCAGAGGGAGAGAGAGAGAGAGAGAGAGAGAGAGAGAGAGAGAGAGAGAGAGAGAGAGAGAGAGAGAGGCAGAGAAAGAGAGTTATCACTTGTATCTCTTGCTAAAGTTCACTATTGTGTCACCCAGAGCAGCACGAGTGACAGAACACAACATACCTCCTCTAGCAATTTCCTATTGAACACCGCATGAGGCAAGTATTAGTGGCTTTTTTTGTTGTTGTTGTGTGCAAGATGGCCTCAACTTTGTGTTCAGGTTACCATTGGTGGCAATTCATGGACATTTTTAAAATTACTTTTTCCTGCTGGTATGTATGTGTATGTGTGTGTGTGTGTGTGTGTGTGTGTGTGTGTGTGTGTGTGTGTGTGCGTGCGTGCACGTGTGTGTGTGCATGCGTGCGTGCGCGCGCACGCACGCACATGTCTGTTGCTGTTTGTAGGGTACTTCACTTACTACAGCTCATGTTGATCCTGACGCTCATCATCGTAACAGCTCTACCCTGCAGTCTTTACTGCCCAGGGAGTCAAACTCGAAGGAAACCGATGCCGCTTTACTTCCCGTCGTGGGATTTCCAGCATATGCCATAGATAAGGAACTGGCCGGCACAACTAGAGATAGAGTTGTCTCGAAACTGAAGGTGAGCTTTCATGGGGTGCTGCAGCGCACATGTCACAAACCTGGATATCTGCAGGAAAAGCTGCAATACGATAAGGATGTTTGCCTGAGTACAAGGCAAAGAATGCAAACCAGGATATTGCATGGAGTGTGAAAAGGTACTGTACAGGCAGAAAATTTCGTCGGTCAATAATTTCGTCTAACTCCAAAGAAAGGGATTTCGTCCGGTTGAAAATTTAGTCCATGGACTATAACAGTGTATTGAAACGCTGGACAAATCGACATTTGTCCGTCATTTAATTTAGTCCCAAAGCTCCTTGGACGAAAAAGACGAAATTAAATTCCAGACGAATATTTCTGCTTGTACAGTAGCTAAAACGAGACAATGTAGGCCATCCTATTATGTATACGCTACACAGGTATCATGATGTGACCAGAGTTATCAGGCAAGTGTACCATGGCGAGGATAGGATTCACACAACATGTCAAACTAGTCAATGTTACACACAGCTCCTCGCTCAACATTAACCTCCACCCTGCCCTCTCTGTGCTTCTCCTCTTCGTCTTGTTCCTACCCCTGCTGCGTATGCTGTCTTCACCCTTGACCATCTTTCTTCTTCTTCTTCTTCTGCTGCTGCTGCTGCTGCTGTTGTTGTCTCATCGTCGTCGTTGTTGTTGACTGTAGGGTGTATGTGGTTTGAAGCGTTTCTCACGTGATGGTCAGTACACTGTACTGGAGCAGAGTTCTAAGGGAAAGGACGGCCCCACTGAACTAAGGGTGAGCGATTTCCGATGGATAGCCTGCCGCTCGTTTGGTTCTAAGAGTCTGTCCTCGATAGCACAAGGGATGTGAATCTGCATGAATCAATGGGCTTGTCCTGGTGGTGTATGACTCAAACACCATAGTCATTAGTGGGTACAAAGTGGAGTGTAACGTGTCCGCACCCTAGCGGCGAATCGGATCAACAGACCGTGGAGAGTCGGACCCTGGCCTCTGAAAAAGGAAGGTTTAGACTGTTAGCAAGAGTACATAACCGCAAGAGTATGCAACTCTGCATATGGGGTCTGGCACGGTGCACTGCCTGTATTACATAGCCACGAACAGTGGGCCATTGCGTCATTATTGATCTGCTACGGTTTCCTGCTTCCAAATCCACTTTTCTCGGAGACTTCGGATGGGTTTGTACGTGATGCGTCACACACACAGGCATTGCCTTTGAACTTACCATATTGCACGAGAAATCATTGAGGCGGAAAACTCAAATCCATGCAGCTGGGTCGTCATTTCACTGCGTAATGCAGGCAGCGCGCCACGCAGGGCACCCATAGCTCGGAGATCGGAGTTGCACACTCTTAGGGTTATGTACTCTTGCCATTATTACAACGGCCACCACAATCTGCCGGCCTATACTTATGTCTGTGGGGACTGCCTTGGTCAAACGTGCATAACTAATAAAATAATGTTAAGTTAGCATGGGAAAGGGTTTGCTCCCCACACTAGAGCTCGCGCTTTTCTGCCGACTTGACTTGACACTTGATGTGCAGTTAGCAATGACTAAAACTGATGTGCATGCTCATGTCACGAAACAAAGTACACACAACAAAGTAGCACTTAAAAAGACTTTCTTTTGTGACCTGAGCGCGCACATCATTTTATTCGTTGGTATTGTACGATTATTGTCTCCATGTCGCCTAATGTGAAGCTGCGCCCACATTGATGAGTGAACCGGGAATTGTAAGCCACAGCTTTCACATCATTGGCAAGTGTTCTAATGGAAAATACAAACTAGGGGTGAAAGCATGCATGCGAAACCCGAGTGCGAGTACTCTATTTTATCCGATCGAGTATTCGAGTATACAAGTAGTACCTATGCAATGTACTGTTATTTTCTCCATTTTCAGCGCCGGCCACCACATGATTCACTTGCATGCATACACATGTCATACGCACGCACGCACGCGCGCACACACACACACACACACACACACACACACACACACACACACACACACACTTACACACACACACACACACACACACACACACACGTGTTCGCACGCATGCACGCCTGTGCACAATAGCCTAATAGGGCTCAGATGTGCAATATTATCATTATTCCATCAGATACACAAACGAATAGACTGCTTTTGTACACCTGGGTAATTTAAATTTAAATTTGATACGTAGCTTATGAGCGGGGATACGAGACGGAGAAATGCTCACAGTGGCTGACGATAGCAGGCATCCGAGAGTCACTAGTGAAGTAAATAAATGTATAAATAAAGAAATACACACGGTCAGGGACTCTGAGCTCTGCTGATAGGAGACCTAACGAGGTCAAAACAGCCAGCTGTCCGGATTGAGTAAAGGAATACTTATAAAATAATACGCTCTGACTGTCAGTATCAATCTACAGGTCACGCAAAGGAGGCATGTCGTTTGCTTCTTCCTTTGGAAATCTATCAAGCCATGGCATCAGCTACTGGACTTCCATAGGGGCGTCAGTTCTTGCTGCATGTAGACTGCTGTTGGCATGCAGGAAGACTAGTGCAACAACGTTCTGGTGTGTAAGACTAGCTCGCAGTTTGTTGACAATGATACCAGCTGCCGAGAATACTCGCTCCGAGGGCACTGACGTGGCAGGTAAGCATAGCACGCGCTTTTGCCAAAATCGCCATGGCTGGAAATCTGTCCGCATTTGTCTTCCACTAATCCAGTGGATCGGCGGATGGGCTTACTTGCTTCTCATTGAAGAACTGTGTAACCTCCACCTCACAATCGGATGATTGCCTATGAAGTCGTGAATGGTGACTCGATGCTAGAGCACGCAAAGAACAAGGACATAATCCTCCTCCATCGCCCGCTGGCTCCAGAATGCACTCATCGTCAGAACTGCCGCCATCACTGTCAAGCAGTGACTTGAAGAAGTACACTGCGAACAATCTCTAGCTTCAATGCATCCTTGTCCTCCTTACTGTCCAAGAATCCCAGGCTACACGACCTTGGATCAAGTGCTGCAGACACGGGTGGCAGTGAGACAGGGTCAAACGGATGGAGCGAAAATTTCACCTCAGTTTCCATTGCCATGGATTTCCGGAAATCTGCAGCTGATGCCAAGAGATCCTCATTTCCAACATGAAGACCGTGCAGCAACTACTTGGCAACGGGCACCACCGTAGTCTGCATGCAGTAGGTTTCACCACCAAGAATAGTGGTACCCTTTGCCGGTGTCTCCAGTGTTGCCACTATCTCCTTGGTAAGTTTCCACTGGTTGTCCTTTAGCTGAAGATGCCAATGGGAGCTTTTGGTCAGTTCTGGGTCTTCCAAAACCGCCATGATCGGAAGCTTCAGTTGTATCAGCCGCTGCAGCACCAAGAAAGAGCTATTCCACGGCGTTGGAACATCCTGGATGACACGCAGAGGAGTGTCAGACTTTCTTCAGATGCCGTAGCCACCTGGTGGTTGTTTAGTGCCTCTGTACTCTTGCCACTGTGGCTGAAATGCCTAACAAGTAGCCTGGCAGAAGCCAACGCTTTCGTTACAACACTTTCGTTACAACACTTTCGTTACAACACTTTCGTTACAACACTTTCGTTACAACACTTTCGTTACAACACTTTCGTTACAACACTTTCGTTACAACACTTTCGTTACAGGCAAAAGGAAACTGCACCTGCAGCAGCACTTTTTGTAGCTTTCCTGAGCTTCGCTACACAAATTGGTACTCACAGAGCCCTTCGCATACTTTCCCCTTCGCATACTTCGGTATGTGCGTGGCTTTGTAGGACATGTTTGACTCCTGTTGGGTGTAGGTACTGCTTTTTACCCCACGCCAGGCCCAAGTGACTGGGGATTCTGATGGGGTTGTCCTGAATCGGACTTACCATATTTTCCAGAGTATAAGCATACTACGGTGGTCAAATTAACAGTGATAAATAGGTTAGAATTAGATGTCTGTATTTTGTGACAAAATCTGGGTGCGGCTTATACTTCAGTGCGGCTTATCCTCCTGAAAATACGGTGTTATAAACTCATTACGCAAGTAGGAAAAACAAACAATTGCGTATTGAGTTTATAACTGCTTCTTTACAGCTACCAGTATATTCATTGCGAAGTAGTGGTAGCGCCTTCAGCCATAGTGGAGGAAGTATGTGTTGCTCTGTGTGCTAGAGCTGGTGTTTTCCTGCCGACTTGACCTGACATTTGACTGACTCACGATTGCCATTCAGAGCCTACAAGAAGGTTGGAAGGACTTCTCGTGTGCTCTGGGTGGTAGCCGTGAGTCAGTCAAGTTTCAAGTCGTCGGCAGAAAATTGTGAGCTCCCACGAAGGCAACGCACACTTCCTCTATATTCGTTGCGATTCTAGACTTGCTTTTCCGTAATGCCGATAATATAGATCGTGGGTCATTCGTTGTTTTGCTTATTGACTTGTGCCTGTGTTTTCTTCAGGTTTATGATGGAGTTGAGTGTGAGTGGCCTATATTCCTCTGCTTCTTGGCCATTGAAAGTGAGCTACTTGTCTAGAAGCCAATAGAGAGGTTTACTGGTTCATAAAATTAATACTGTACTGGGCAAGCCTCTGACCCACTGTCGTACCCCAAGTCAGGCCCAACTAACTGGGGATTCTGATGTGGTTATCCCCTGCAGACTCGTTATGAACTCATTCATTACGCTGCTTTCACGCACTTGTTTTTTTTAAGTTGCCTAACCTCTGTAATGTTGACTGGCTAGTTCAGTATGAGTTGCACACAATGCCGTTTTGGCTGATGGTGTTACCCAATCCAGAGTACCTGTGAATGCTCGTGGAGTCATGTACTTCAAGGTAGACCTACCCAGAATAACTCTGTTATTATTTTTATTCATCCATTTGAGGGAAGATGTTGGTGCGACTTCGGCGATACTTGGGGAATTGTGTGTTGCTCCCTACGTGGGAGCTTGCGCTATTCCTGCCGACTTGACTGCCATCCAGAGCACACGAGAAGTCCATCGAACCTTCCACTTGGCAAACCTGCAAGAAAGTACCACTCCCCGCTCAATATACAGTGTTTCGGGGAATTCACCCCTCATCAGGTGAGCTTGAGTAGGATGAGGAAGATTGTGCCTGGACTTCTCGTGTGCTCTGGATGGCAGTCGTGAGTCAGTCAAGGGAGACTTCAAGTCGGCAGGAATAGCGCAAGCTCCCACGTAGGGAGCAACACACAATTCCCATTTGAGGGAGATTAGTTATTCATTTATTCAACACGTACATGGCCCAAGCCTGTTCTGAGTGATGTGGACGATTCTAGCTAGCTCTGGGCAGATGATTATTTTATTTTACTTTGACATTGACTACCGGCATGTACTTCGGCCTCTGTCAGTGGACGGTGTCAAGAGAAATGCCTTGTACACTGTACCAGATTCTTGTCATTCTGTGCTGTGCTGTCTTCTGTTTAGAGTATGGTAACGGGGATGAGGCTGGTGCTCGCGAGTGTTTACATCAGCTTGATCGACTCTTGGACAAGGATGGAGGTAAGATGAGAATGGTAGAATATGATGCTGTAATTAGGCGTCCTGGCAAAAGGGAAAGTGTCTTCCCTGACTCACGCATATTAGTGCTTTAGAAGGATGGGGGCTGGCTAGAGAAATGAGTTCAGGTATCATAGTGCGAACTGCGTAGGCTAGTGAACACCTGCTGAAGATATGTGTCACTCAAGCAAGGAACTGTTTTATTGTGTTTGGCCAAGGGGATGGGGGCGGGGGACTGCACGATATTTCGGGGGATGACAGGAAACGTCTGGGTTTACCCCTTACTGAATACTTTCAAGTATGTGAATGCACGAGCGAACGCGTTAGAGGTGGAATGCTGACCACATTTAGGCCAAAATACTTCTTTTGTTTGTGCGAAGGTCATAAACATAGTAATTCATGTCCCAATATGTCAAGCTGGTACTGTGATGGGACATGTCCTTTCTCAAGTGTTTTCCACTATCCTATTTAGCTTTGTAGCCTAGTCACCCTGTTCTAACCAGGGTAAAGGCCATGTTTTGCTCGGCTACCTACTCGCACACGCATTTCCTGTGCTCAATCACCGCACAGCTGGCCATTTTGACCCTGCTAGGTCTCATCAGCGAAGCTCTATGGCATCTGCCCTTGCACCTGCGGTTGCAGTAACACCTCTGTGTGTGTGTATGTGTGTGTGTGTGTCCTTGTGTTGGTTTTGTGTAGTGGTACCAAAGTGCTACGTAGTGGAGAAGCAGTTTGTGGAATCTGAGCGCATAGCGCCAGCAGCCCAGCATCGACAAGCCCTGCATGAAGAAGAGCCGTGGCTCTGGGCGCAGAGTCTCTATATCATCACATGTTTACTGAGTAAGGGCATGCATGCTTCGTGAGCTTTGTGAGCTTTGTGTTTTGAATAATTGTTTTTATTTTGGCTGACTCCTGTCCTCACCATAATCTGATCACATAACTGCTTGTTTTGTTCTGTTGTGTGCTGCTGCTGCTGCTGCTGCTGCTGGTACTGGTAATGATACTGTTGCTGCCGGTGTATCACTGCCGATGATGTCACTGCTGCCGGTGTTTGCTGCTGCTCACATATACTTTTGTGCCCCGTACATGTCTCAGTATCAGGTGTGATAGATTTGGCTAGCATCGATCCACTCGGACGTCACTTGTCGTCATCACTAGCAGGCTATCGGCCGTTGAAGCAGGATGGTCTCAGGGTAGGCACATCTTGATTGCTACCACATTTGATTGTGTCTGTCTTACCGATGTCTGTCCTGTCCCTGTCTATCTAAATGTACAATGTATTTGTGTCTTTCTGTCTGACTGTGTAAATGTTTGATGTGGTGTAGAGCTGTAGTGGTCTACAACTGTGTTGCATCTATTGATCATTTGTTTATTGTGGTGGACTGTTCCTTGTTTGTGTTTTCAGATAGCGGAGAAGAACACCGTTGTGCAGATATCTCTTGTGGCAGAGAGTGCTCAGTAAGAGAAATCATACACCTGCATGTCATCATTGCCAATGCCTGTGTGTCGTTTCACCATGACTGTGGTGTCTTGGTGTCTAGATCATCAGTCGCAATCTTGTGTTTGTGCCTATGACTTGCCTCTCTTTGTTGTACAGTCTTCAAGCTCGCCTTGCAACGTTCGGCATAGCCTCGCAGACTGTTCAGCAAGTTGAGCCAATCATTGTATTGCCACAAGCATCTCTTGTGGATGTAAGTGCACATGCCTGCCTGCACGTACACACACACACACACACACACACACACACACACACACACACACACACACACACACACACACACACACACATTATTTACAGCTGCAGAACCATGGCCGGTAATTCTGACAATTCCACCAACTAGACCAGATCTTGAACAGTCAGACGTGCACAATTTAGCACTATAAAACTGATAAGGAGTGCGGAGGCACTCTAACTGGTCAACATCTGGTCTAGTTAGTGGATTCTTAAAGCAAAAGAAACTTAGAGAGTTATTCATCATCAGAAAGTTTGCTGTCTGAGCTGGTAGATCCCGAATACATCACTGTGGGGGTCTTATAGCTCATCCTAGAGGCCATCTGTGGTCCAAAACGTGTCGAGCAACACCACGCCATTGCTCAGCAGCACTGGCTTCTAGCAAGGTATTCTTTGATACTTATTCCGGCGGGCAGCGTTGTCCTTGACATTTGTTTTCCCAGATCATTTTGGACCAGGTCAAATAGACAGTGCTATGATGACAGTGGTCTGATGACTGGCTGGCCCTTGAATTCAGCCATCACATGACATTCATTCCCAAAGCTATGCAAAAACACGTTACTTCAGTAGCACCTGGCGCTAGCCAGGGTCCACAGCGCTTTAATCACGTGATGCACCATGCCTGGCGCGCTACCATTCATGTCCCGTACCGTATACCGTCGAACAATGCTGGCCACGTATTCAAATAGGGCCGCTTTGAACGCCAGAATCATAGCGTGAAGCAACTTGGTAGAATGTGTATGCGAGCGAAGTGTATCGAGGGAATGCATGCAGGGCGCTTGTGCGGGTTCGAATCCCATGTTGTGCATGAAAAAAATTTGAAAAGAAAATAAGCTAGAACCACAGTGTAATACAACTACTAGGAAGAATGTACTGTACCTAGGAGTTGGAGTTATGAGTTAAAGTTTCTTTCTTTTTTTAATTACTTTTCCTCTAGTTTTTACCTAGATCATCATGCGTGTTTTCGAGCTGATAGAAACGTCTTTGCAATACGATGATCAGGTAAATGTTATTGTATCGCAAAGGCGTTTCAGTCAGTTCGAATAAAAACGCAAGATGACCTAGGTAAAAACAAAGCATAGCGAGGGCTCTGGGCTTTCAAGCTCTCGTTTATTTCGTACTATTTTGGAGTACAGGGCTGCAGTTCATAAGCTTCGAAAGCTCGGACTTCACCATGTCTCTCTCTAGTAAGATGTCCTTCTCGTTTAGACTTTCCTGGATCTTTTCTTCAGCTTGATATGATTTTGAGTCCTTAGTCTGTGTAGTGTGATAATGATAAACCCTTCCCCACCTCATCTCCATCGTCATCAGCTGGCCAATTAGTGTTAGACCCCACGCCGATAATAGTCCTTTCAAAAAATCAACAATCCGAGCTCCTTTGGCTGTGGACATGGTCCTGCTGGTCTTGGCAGCTTCGGATCCCAGGAACCTTTCATTGCAAAACGCAAGGAACTTCTCTTTGTGCCCTTCCATTCTCCAAAAAGCACAACCAAAAACAGTTAGGCAGGAAAAATGAAAAACAGCACCTCACTACAGTAAGATCGGGCGCCGAAGAACGCAGGGGCTCGAGCGCAGCCTAGGAAAGTTCTTTTGGCTAGAATCAAAAATTTAAAATTTTTTGATTCTAGCCAGACCGTTCTTATTCACACGCGCGCAGCGAGTCGAGTGACGTCATGACGTTTGTCATGTACATGTACATGTACATGTAGTGCAATGTAGTACTTCTAAACTAGTGGGTGTCGTAAATGGGAATGACTGTACATGTAGCAGTTACTGTTTACACGTGTACATGACATGTACTCACCTCCCATACATGTACAATTTTGTAAATTTTAAAAGTGTTCTTAAAACGATGAAAATATGAAGAAATGGTGTAGGGAAAAAATATGGATTCAAGTTCCATATTTTTTCCCTACACCATTTCTTCATATTTTCATCGTTTTATTGCACATCGTCTCCACCGTTTTTACATTGCATGAATAAAGTGTTCTTAAATCTGATAATTCTAGCCTGGACTGTTCTTAAATTTTGCCGGTTTTCCAGCCTGGGTGTTCTTCGGCGAGGTGTTCTTCGGCGCCCGATCTTACTGTACCATCAGACACCAGACTACATGTGCTCCCAGACTCCTCGGTCGCCACACCAGATAGCACCGTCCCAAACGCCAGGTAGCTTATTTGCTCCAGACGTTCTGGACTGCTGAAGAATACTTGATGGTATACACTGCAGATGTGACACGTGTTGTGGCACGAAACACAAGTACGTTGTCTGGTCAAGGGCGTAAAAGAGGGGTGCAGCCATCTTGATTGCAGCCACCCTGCAGTGCCAATTCCCTCCACGGATAGCAGACCGCAAAGCTACATAGGCAAACATATCACGGAAGTAAAAGTTCGCCCATAGTTTTCATCGGTGCTGGTCTTCGAAAACTCCTCGAGTTCTTCCATTGTTGGGGAAGTTGACGGGTGTTGTGTTGTGTAGGCTTGTAGCATACTGTGACCAATGGCCTCATGGGCCCACAGCAGGAAATCATGGGTTTTGCGAAAGGTCGAGCATCTCTCCACCACACTGAGTGCCTCTCCCTTATATTCATAGCTTTCGCCATAGAATGCAATCCCGCATCCCAGTAAACTTTCATGAGGATTGGCTGTATAGCCTTCAGCATGTGCCAGTCACCTGGGAAGGGGACAAGCCAAGACAAGGTTTGGTCATATTCTTGTCGTAGCTTTAGGAGAATGTCATACGTCTTCCCATCTCCAACCACAAGGGGATGTTGTCGATGTGTGCCGATGCCGTACGTGCGGTATGGATCAGGCAAGATAGACTTCATGGTTTCTTTGTTATCTGCAGGTTTATCCAGTAGTCCAAGGTCAACACTAGCAGCCTCAGGTTCTTCGCCACCTTGCTCCTGCATGGAGCCCTTCAAGCTGTCAGTGCCATCAATTTGCGAAAGTTGCCAGAGGGGAGAGGTTGTGGCCTAGGTGTTTCTCTCAAGGTTGAAGCTAACCAAGCAGCAAGTGGCTGCAGTGTGGGATTATTTATCAGGTCGCTGCCAACGGACCCACCACTGGTTTGCTCGAAACCGGTTCTAGAAGCCTGAGTGGGCTGACTGCTGCATGCAGTAAACCTCGCCAAATAGGAGTCAGCAGGGTGGGGAGCAAGTGGGATCTGGAGTGGATCGGCTCCAGGGTACCATCCATGATCCGCTTGCCTACCTCATGCTCTTGCCCGGACTCCACATTTCCCACAGGCAGCGGCGTGACCATTGTTCACATAGGGAGTTAGAGCCTGGCCTGCCAACACACACATCGGTGACTGTTCAACGCATCAATATAAACATCTCCACCGACCGCAGGATATTTGGCTGATACCAACTGCATGGGCGTTGTCATCTTCACCCCGCAGATCTAAAATGTACAGGTGTCGTGCGGCCGTTGGCCATTCTTCTAATGTAATGGCCTCTCTCTCTCCCTCTGACCTTGTATGTCTGTCTGTGTGCTTGTTCGTTTGTTTGTGATGCCTATTTTTCATCTGTATGTCTGTTTTTTCTGTGTGCCTGTCTTGTCCGTTCATCTTTCCTCTGCTGTGACACACGCATGCACACACGACACATAACACTCACTGGTTTAGGCATTCAAAGACCTTGGTGTCAACCCTAGACTATCTCTGTCGGGTCGACCGTCGAGACCGAAAGGAGCTCTTGGAACCAGCATGGTCAGTTTTATTGCCTGCTGTGTGAGCTCTCAAGTATGCATAAGGCCATCATTTTTTATATCTATGTTTCGCGTCAGTTCAACTTCCAGAATCATATGCGAGAGGTGGAAAGAAATAAAAAGTTGCAAAATAATAAAAAAAGATTATCAGAGGTGTATAGCACTGTACATACTACATAGCCTATTGACTATTGTCAATAGCTCGTGCATGGTGTACATTCGAAAGAAAAATTGTACATCGAAGCACAAATCTGGGTTATCAGCAAGAGAAGATATTCACTTTGGACAGAGGAGGCAACCGTTGGTGCCCATGCTTCGTTGGATTATTGTACTCAGCCTTCAGCAGCGGTGCAAAGACCTCCGAAACGACGTATCCTCTCAGCTTGAGGCGATCGATGCGGTCTGGTGTAAGCTCAAAGAATTCAGCTCGCAGATGCAGAACAAACGATCTATCAACGCTGGCCTCGAGGCCATTTCTGAATCCCAGCTTCGGCGTATGCAACCAGTCCACACTGATGACTCGCACGATCGTACACTCACTGTGCATGTTCGATTTTTTTATTTTTTTCAGAAAAAAATCAAAACGTATGCGTGCGGACGACGTGAAACATAGATATAAAAAATGATGGCCTAATGTCATTTGGAATACTTGCTATTGCCTCCCAATGTGACAGGTGTAACTGTACCAGCTCTCAACTCCCTTATCTATGCTTGTCTCTGGACCTCGTGTTTGAAACTACATGACATATTTTACCACTATATTATTTAAACATGGAGGTGCACGTGTGTGTGTGTGTGTGCGTGCGTGCGTGGGTGTGTGTGGGTGTGGGTGTGGGTGTGCGGGTATTGGCCATACACCTCTCTCCATTGCAGGTATACCGAATCAAGGGCGATGTTGTCGTGTTTACACCTATCTTTCTGGACCAAACAGATTTCTACATGTCCGCCGATCTTAGCCTGTTGATTGATGTTATCAAGGTAAGTACAATGTACTAGTGTTCCTACTGTAGGTTGACTACATGTCCCACTGCATGGTGGAACTGTACATGATGGAATGCAGCCACACTGATACTGACTACATGACCCACTGAATGACATAATGTTTAAATGAAGAGCTCCAATTCTAAACCAGGTACTGTAAAAGTTGAATCTCTAACGGGGCACAACGGGGTTTCGGCTTACTTTCTCCAATGGATATTGATCACGAGGTGCCGTTGGGCAATTCGATCCGACAACAATGGCGGACTTTTGAAAGCGAGCTAGCTCTTCTTTTACAGAGATGAGCTCCTTGACAATCTCGTCCGGTCTGCTCTGCATCCGCCTATCTGTATCTCATACCTCGCTTATCCTGGCGTCCAGCAGCCGTACGACCTGGTGCATAGCCGACTTGAGGCCTGGGAATGAACACAACATTCTGAGCAAGGGCTTGCGTACCTCCTCGAAGGGATGGAGCCGCTCCAAGAGACACAACCACCTCCGCCCTCTGCTGCTGCTGCTGCTGCAGCGCCAAGCAGTTCCTCATAATGAGTTTGAATGGCTTCACCAGCTGCACCTTGGGCAAGTAGCTTGAAGACGTCAGTGCGCTTAGCTGGTTTCACCGTGTTGACCATTAGCAACTCGGCAGGCTTGTAGTAACTGCAGCTCTTTGTCACGCTTGAGTACAGAGTGCTCACAACCGTCGCCAGTGTAAGCCGTCTTCATGCTCAGCTTGTCGCCAGCAAATTGATACAACGTTGGCTTCACTGATTTTGAAGGAGCGACTCTGCTTACATGATGCCTGGGTGGCTGCTTTGAAGTTCAGGCTCTTCCAATCTTTTCTAGTTTTTGCTGTACTTCATCAAGCTTGCGTTGAATGCTGGCCAATTGCTCTTCTTTGGTATCGTTGTCGTTGGTGTCAAGCGTGCAGCGATAATGCCCTGATAAAACTGAAGCACCCTTGTTATTTCGCCTGCATACACTCGGTGAGTACCAAGCTGCTCGAGAATCGCGTAATAGCCCTCTGGATGAGGGATTGTGTCTTGATGTCTCGCTCGCTTTTCTATCCGCCTGAGCACACCGTCTGCTGGAAGGCAGCTGTGGCCTCTTACAGGAAATGTATACGTTACAGTCAGATTGGGTTGGTGATTCTTTCGCAGAGCGAAATGTATGCTGAGAGCGTTGGTGTCCTTGTTTGATCACTGCCTGCTGCTGCCACTATGTTCTGTGTGATACAGGATAACCTGAAGTTTATCTATGACAATTGGAACAAGCCAAAGCGGCCGCTAATGGTGCTATTGCTTCGCTCCAATTACGCCGCGTAAGTAGCCAGTGCCTAGTTAGTAGTTGCCATGGCAATCATGGCCTCTGTGTACCAGTATCATTGATGTAACGCTAGTGTTTGCTCTCTCACAAGAAGCGGTGCGTCTTCATGCTTGGCTAAGGAGAACACACAAAGAGCAGTACTGGCCGTGAGAGAAAGTGGCGAAGGGACGTACAGTCCGTTCAGAACAACTTTGCTTTAGATTCTATCAGGTTAACGGTGTGCGTATGAGTACAGTAAAAGCTGTAAAACTCCCTTTTAAAAATCCGGACACCCCTAATCCGTGCACATCCGTCTACGGGGCACCTTTCTGAGTCTGACACATCTAGAGTCTTGAATACATGTAGTGGCTTTTCAACGAATAAAAAATAATAATAAATAAAAATTCGACGGGTTCGCGTACCGGGCAGGTCAAGAACAGGTAGTCGTACAACTCCCTGGTCAAGAACCACCTTTCCGCTTCCGTGGGATGCCACCACCCCATGATCAGGCGTCAGATGCGGCTCCAAATAACGGTCCCCAAACCTTTTGATTGGCATTAAACACATTACTTGCATGCAGTAAGTATGTATGTTCTGAGTTATTGGTAATTCCTAGTTACTGGCAGTACATTGTACTTGGTTCCAACCTGCCCAGACTAGGCGAGGTTTACAAATTACAGTACATGTATCAGCATCCATGTGTAGACTACTGATATTGAGAACTATTTCAAAACTTGTCACAACACACACATGATTGTATGCATGTGTGTGTGTGCGCGTGTGTGTGTGTGTATGTGCATGTTGTGGTGCATGTGTAGGAGTGGTGCCCATGTTTCAGAAATGATTGAAATGATGGCAGCATTTAAGCAAGGCGTCTGGGAAGGTGTTCCTGTCAAGCTAGGACGGCTGCAGGTACGTCGATGTGTGTTGCTATTGTTGCATGCCAAATGTTCATTGAACATCTATTTCCCTTATTTGTTGTGGGTGCTGTGGGCTTCTTACAACTTTCATTGGGCTTTGTAGTGCTTTTATGATGAATCTTCATTGAGGGAAGGATTATGAACTACCATTTCTCTCTCTCCCCCTCTCTCTCTCTCTCTCACACACACACACACACACACACACACACACACACACACACACACACACACGCACGCACGCACGCACGCACACACGCGAACACACACACACGCACGCACACTCACCTTCTTCAAATTGCTCTTCTTGCGAGCTTTCTTCTGATTTAAATCTGCTCCTCTTTTTGTACTTGCATGCTTCTGTCGTTTGTTCAGCAATTTATTGCAACATCGTTTGTGGAGCAGCTTGACTTCGTTAAACAGGATGTCCGGACGCTTGCTCCAGCTCCCAGGTAGGACTTTCCATGGAGGTTGTGTAGCAAAACATTCTCCAATACATGGGCTATGACCAATGTGTGAACGTCCCATAATTCTCATCTGAGTTTCAAGATGACACCAATTTGCTTTGCGGAGAGTGCATTAAGTCAATCCCAGCCCCATTCTGTTCTTGCGTTCCTCCAGCTCAGTTTTGCTTGTGTCAAAAGAACATCTCTGTATCGTGAATGAGAGCTGGCACTTCCATGTCTGCATTTATCTCCCCCTGTATCATTTTTTGTGAATTGCACAACTATGTAGTTGGCCAGCAAACATGCCCATGCCATGGAGATGACACAAACCAGCCTTACGTATTCTCTGCTTGTTTGTGTGTGCGTGTGTGTGTGTTGCAGTTCTGTGCGACAACAGGTATTGAACAGAACATCACGAGTATCTCTCTTTAACCCAGTGCGAGCTGGTACTGTAACACCACCACCACCACCAGCAGACCTCGGCGAGGATATTGTAAGCTTGTTTGTCTGCTTGCTCGCTTTGCTCTCTGTTGCCTTTTGCTTCTGCCTTCTTGTGGCTGCCTTCCAATGGTCATTATGCACGTTGTACAGATGTACGGAGTTCTGTGTTAGGGCCGTAGGCGTGTACATACCCGATTGGGTGTTCATTGTGTGCTATACGTGCACATTTGACCAATTTAGCCTCATAATTAATGGCAAACAATCGCTTTTCCAGCTTCTTTACTTTGGATAGAACTACTGACAAGGTAGGTGGTCTTTGTCGGAAAATGTTTTCGTATGAAGTGCCTTTAGGGCCCATTTTCTTAGTGGAAATTGCAGTAAACACAATAGGGTCCTGCACATTCAACACCCAACCGGGTCTACAGGATTCTATGGGGTTCTACGGGATTCTACGAGATTCTACGAGATTCTACGAGATTCTACGGGATTTCGTACATCTGTACAACGTGCATAAGGCCTATAGTACATTTTTGTCCATTGGCACCGGTTTTATCATTCGTCGAACCTCGGTTTTCTGTTGTCCCTCTTTTCGATTGCGCCGTGTGTGCGTGCGTGCGTGTGTGCATGTGCGTGTGTGCATGCATGCATGTGCATGTGTGTGCATGAGCATGCCATGTGTATGTGTGTTGGTGCGTGCGTGCGTACGTGCATGGGTGGGTGTGTGCGTGCGCGTGTGTGTGTGTGTGTGTGTGTGTGTGCGTGTGTGCATGTGTGCATGTGCGTTGGCATGTCAACCAGGATTTCTCCAAGTTGTACAGCAGTGAAGAGATCATGGATCATTTCAACGTAAGTCTATGACTTATCAGTGTGCTTCCATGACCAGTACACATGCCAGTTTTCTGCACTGTCAGTACTAGTAGGACATTGTATAGATCTCTCCATGTATTGTATGCACAAATAATCGTAAGAATGCAGACGTGTAGCCCGTGGGGGGGGGGGGGCACCTGGGGGCATATGCACCCCCCCCCCCCCCTCTTAAAATCGTTCCGCCTTCGTTCACCACGCGCATATTTTGGGCCAAGTAGCCTAGGCATCTCACTTCAGTGCTTCCTGTGAAGCCAGCATCAGTGCCAGCATCAGTGCCAGTGTGCAGAGTTCACCTAGCTGTGACTGTGTAGCTGGATACCTGACTATTACATGTATACAAGTACCTGAAACCAAAATAGGTTTGGGTTATTATTGCCTTCTCCCCCTGGCCCCCGCCACACAACAACGCAAACTCTCCATCGTGTGTCTCAAATTCTTATATTAACAACAAACGACGAGGGCGCAGGAGGAGAAAGACGCTATACCGAGCCAAAATGACGACGGGAAAAGACACCAAGAAACAACAAAGAACAGGCAGTAATAGAGGGGCGACAAATCAGGGACCAATACGTACAGAACGCATGACCAAGACCAAGACAACCAGACCACGGACGAATCACACATGACTCTCATTCCCAGACCAAACTAGCACTACGCATGTACAGCATTCACTTGACAGTCACTCTCACACGGACGGAAGCAGATTCTCACGCTCTGACAACGCGTACTCTTGCATGCACCACATACCATAAACGTCACACATCACACCATACTCGCACGTACACTTAGACCATATTATATGACATCAGACACTGGACTCTACGAGACAAGAACCAAATACAACAACATGCGTAGATCATACTCGTAATACAATTGCATATCGGAGCTTCGAGCTTCGATATAACAGTGTATACGTGCGTTCCTGTACAATGTTGTTATATCTCCGCTCTCCGCTCTTCATACAATCCCCACTTCACATCACAATGTGCCATTGTTTGTGAAATGGGCAATTTCGCAACATACCTGTATACTGTCAATCACTAACCTACTGCTGGAACTGCTTCAAGAATATTTCGGCCGTGTACACCCCTAAAAGGTGGACCACCGGGTTCGCCGCTGGGAATGTGTGAGTAAGGTGGAGCGTACGCATAAAGAAAGTAGCAAAGTGTTACTAAGGACGTTTAGCAATGCGAAAATTCGAACTTTTGGTGGTTAGTGATATTTCGCGAAAATCAATTTCGAAAAAGAAAACTTGTGAGGTTTAGCAATGCGAAATGACTTTTTCTCGAAGTTATTTGAATCTTATAGTACCGTACCGTATATGCAGGTCAGTCTCAAGCAGGGGGCTGTAAAATTACTACTCCCTGTAGTCAAATGCGTACCGAGAAAAGAGAAAGTTACTTTCGCAAATCACTGCAACTTCGCGTCCAAGTTTTCGAAGTTTCGAGCTTTTTTCCTGTACTCATTCCCAGACTCGAATTTTCTTTCGAACTTTCGCGTTGCTAAACGTCCTTATTCTTTGTTTGTTTTTCCTGAAATGTGCATACAATGTAGATCATGTTCATACTCTCTCTCTCTCTCTCTCTCTCTCTCTCTCTCTCTCTCTCTCTCTCTCTCTCTCTCTCTCTCTCTCTCTCTCTCTCTCTCTCTCTCTCTCTCTCTCTCTCTCTCTCTCTCTCTCTCTCTCTCCCTCTCTCTCGCTCCCTCTCTCTCTCTCTTGTCATTGGCACAGGAAAGTGTACTTGTTGTGACGAAGATGATGCTACTGAGTCGCCTGTTCCTCTGTCATGGTCCCGGGTTCCGTACTCCGTTAGGTAGGTCTCAACTCAATCTTTCACTCATACTCCTGAAACATATACACAACAGCAAAATGTTCCCGTATCCACAGCTAGGGCACAGGACCGTCCCATAATCTAGGGCTAGGGTGCATGGTTGGCCCCTTTGTTATAGGGAGACATAAAATGGCATACATGCACACTCGTACACACAGCATATTTAAGGATCATGAAATACGGTTTTCCGCTGGAGAGCTTGCAGTTTTTGCATCAACGAGGTTGTCACAGTGCCAGAAGACCCAGCTGGTTTTGCTGTAAAACGAAGTTAGCTTGCTGTAGCCGATCTGTAAACATGCTTGTGGTGAAACAATAATCTTGTCTTCTTCCTCTGTACGTGCATGCTGCTCAGGGACGGTTGTTGAGGTGGTGAAAGGCTTGTATGACAAAGCATTGACAGACCAAGATTGGTTAGTAGTGGTGAAACTATTATCTTGAAAGGTGCTTGTTGTGTGTATGTGTGTTGTTTCAGTGCACAATTGCCTGATCTACACACAGTTCCCTCAAGCTAATGAAACAGTTTTCTGTTGAAGATCGGAATGTGTGTGTAGATGCGAAGTAATCATTTGGCCACTAACCTGATCCGCGTGGACTTCAGGCACCTCTTGAAGCAGCTGTCCGGATTTTCTTGAACACAACGGTTCTGGAGAAGGTTTTAAACACAACGATTCTGCAGCAGCTACATGTATCTGAGCAAAGCCGGATCACTCCATTAGAAGTAAAGACGTGCTTGGTCTATGACGAAGACGTGGACAATTCGCGGAGTAGACTAAAGACAACAGCTCTCTAAGGATAGGGCTTCCGACAACAAGAATGAGATTGGACTCAAAAGTCCGAGTCCCGCTTATCACAACTCTCTGGTTTGTGATCCCTTCTCACTCAGCCAGAGCATGGAGGGGTAGAATATGTACTTTGCAACGCGCTTGCTCAGATCCATCACTACGAGAACATTGGCGTACCCCCTTACCCATCTGTGCTGGATGGGGCACCGGTCCGGAACAGATCCACGCGTACTCCTTCTCACTCCACATAGACTGGCATACAGAGAGACACAGGCACCAATGGCAACGGCACACAAATTGAAGGGTAGTTGGTTGTAGCCAGGGTAGTTGGCCGCAGCCAGGGTAGTTGGCCGCAGCCAGGGTAGTTGGCCGCAGCCAGGGTAGTTGGCCGCAGCCAGGGTAGTTGGCCGCAGCCAGGGTAGTTGGCCGCAGCCAGGGTAGTTGGCCGCAGCCAGGGTAGTTGGCCGCAGCCAGATGCGAACCGGATAGCGAGAGAAGTCTAGAAGCAAGGACTGAGAACAAAATGGCTCAAGTGAAAACGGTATGCACGCTAGTTAGTAATTACTTGTACATGAATATGTGCACAGGAGTGTGTGCATACGGGAATGTGTACGGGGCTAAAAGGGCTCGTACAACAGTAGTGAGGGAAAAACCCAGGTGTACCTCCCCAATGGCGAAATGGCATCATGTGAGCATGGCAAAGCACATCATAGCAAAGTTGGAAAAAGCAAGATCAATATGCGCAGTAATGAAGAGTGGGTTTCATGGACGCTTCCAACTCCGAGTTTCTTGCAAAAGCACTCATCAGACAACTTCATTCCGACCTCACAACAAATTTCTTGACTGTCCATCGCTTGATGACTGTTCAGTTATTGCTCCATCTTTGATGTTGAGCACCTTTTTGCAGCTGTGGGACCAGATCTTATTCTGAGTGTCAAATTTACACTGTGGGGGAGAGGGCTTTAATTTTCATTGGCTCTCAGAGACAGGGGCACTATTCAAGGCAGGGGTACTATTCAAGAGAGGGCTCTACTGTAATGAAGTGAGTATGGTACTGGATCACAGCCGGGGCCCATGTGGAGGGGGGGGGGGGGGGGGTTGGAGGTCATTGCCGGGGTGTGGGCGTTCATGCACCAAGAGATGCTTTTTTTAGTTACCTGCCACCCGAGGTGGAACTGACCTGTTCTTATGCCGGTATGCGGGATCCAAAGATGATAATGGGCCAGTATGAATATTGCAGCACTTTTTTCTTCTGGCACGATGTATTTCCTACCGTATTCAGTTAATGCAGCATCCTGGGATTTTTACATGCTTGGGTTTCCACCTCTGTTAGCTTGAACAGGTGCTGTATTGCCTTGGCAGCTACCTCCGCATCCCAGCCCTTTCCCCTTTCCCATTACAATGCTGTTTGTGTGTACATGCGCACTTGTGTCTATGTGTGTACGTGTGTGTGCCTGTGCGGAGTATGTGCATGCTTTCGTGCATGTGTGTGCTTGCATGTGTGTTTATGTGTGTTTTGTGCATGCGTGTGTGTGGGTGGGTACGCACTCATGTATACATGTATACATGTGTGTGTGTGTGTGTCCACGTGTGCGTTCATGTCGTGATTGTGGGTTCAGGTACAGTATTCGCATCGGTGCCAGTTTGCTGGGCAAGACCGTTGATAGCTTAGCACCATCCATTACACTGATGGTAGCTGTCAACCGACAGGTGAGTCTTGTGACTACACATATACTCTACACTGTACTATCCTGTGTAGCACACTGCACTAGTATACTACATGTATCTCTTGTAGAACACTGCACACTGTACACTGTACACTGCACACTGTACACTGCACACTGTACACTGTACACTGTACACTGTACACTGCACACTGTACACTGCACACTGTACACTGTACACTGTACACTGTACACTGCACACTGTACACTGTACACTGTACACTGTACACTGCACACTGTACACTGTACACTGTACACTGTACACTGCACACTGTACACTGCACACTGTACACTGTACACTGTACACTGTACACTGCACACTGTACACTGTACACTGCACACTGTACACTGTACACTGTACACTGCACACTGTACACTGCACACTGTACACTGCACACTGTACACTGCACACTGTACACTGTACACTGTACACTGTACACTGCACACTGTACACTGCACACTGTACACTGCACACTGTACACTGTACACTGCACACTGTACACTGCACACTGTACACTGTACACTGCACACTGTACACTGCACACTGTACACTGTACACTGTACACTGTACACTGTACACTGCACACTGTACACTGTACACTGCACACTGTACACTGCACACTGTACACTGTACACTGCACACTGTACACTGTACACTGTACACTGTACACTGCACACTGTACACTGCACACTGTACACTGCACACTGTACACTGTACACTGTACACTGTACACTGCACACTGTACACTGTACACTGTACACTGTACACTGTACACTGTACACTGTACACTGTACACTGTACACTGCACACTGTACACTGTACACTGTACACTGCACACTGTACACTGTACACTGTACACTGTACACTGTACACTGTACACTGTACACTGTACACTGTACACTGTACACTGTACACTGTACACTGCACACTGTACTATCTCTTGTAGAACACTGAACACTGCACTCTCGTGTAGCACACCTGATTTCTATTCGAGTAGTTGTTACTGCTCTAGCACTAACGCTGCACTATTTGTGTATGTACTTGTTGGTTTGATTAGTCTGGTCTTGGTACGTTAATATTCCGCTGTAGAAACTTACACTACATCCAGTAATCATGTACAGTTTAGCTTTGCCTGGGGATGCACATGGTTTACTATTTATTCATCCAAAGCTAGCACCCTATCATTTTGGTGTCTGCAATGTACACAGTGGTACATACATCAAAAACAATCGCACACCCCACATAGTATTGCCCATGCAATCTTTCCTTACCACGCTTGAGGATGAAGCGCATCTAAGGATAAGGAGGTAGAGATTCAGCCAGGTGTTTACAATTTCAGGACAGATACTCGTAAACCATGGCAAAGTGTATGGAGAAGTAGGTCCAAACCAGGGAGAAAGGACTCAAAAGAATACAGACAACAAAACTTGGTACATTGCTTTACACTGCAAATCAAGAAGAGTAAATGAAATGCTGTAGCCAATGTGCCTACTCGCCGTACCTCAACATTTACGAGCAGTAAAAAAAAAAGTATGTCATGAAGAACAGAAAGGCATAGTCAATTCCTACGTCAGCCAACAGGAAATAAAACATTTCTCGACCTTGTCGGGATGCTTTCTCTTCCTTTCCTTTCTCCATGTACTGCTGTTGTACACCGTGAGGTACCAGTCCCAACCTAGATTGTTTCCTCCTGACTCAAGAAATCAATTCACCCATCGTCTATCTGTTTGCTTTTATTTGTGTATGTGTCTCTGTCTCTCCACCATGCACTAGGTTTGTATTGGTGTTGTTGGTCATGAGGAACGTGTCATTTCAGAGCCACTACCACCAGCTGAGATACAGGTAGGTGGTGTAGATCATCTTGAACCATACTCCATGCATGTACTGCTAGTATGCATTATCTACGATTGAACATGCACCATCTACAGTTGAAGGGTTTCAGATCGAAGAAAATAACAGTGAAAACAGGCTTTGAATCATAGTGTGTGAGTGCCACCACGTTAGTTTTCGCCTAGATGCCTGTTTAAAAGTGCCATGAGCCTGTCATGCAGCTTGACCTGTTAGCACCTTTTGCGGCGGGCTGAGTTTTGCTGGATACAGCCTGGTATGCGATCAGCACAAGCTGTGAGCTGTGCACGTGTACAGGTGGCCGGCCAATAGCCAGCAGCTTCTCAGCAAGGAGAGCACTGGAATAGAGGTTGTCGACAAAAAAGCGGCCAACCTCCGCAGCACCTGCTGTGGTCAAAGGCAAACCGAAAAGACCAGGTGTAGCCCGTGTCCACATCGCATAGTGCACATTGGAGTTTTGTTATTCTTCTATTAATAGGACATGCATGTGCAGAACAAACAGATTGGGGTGCTCTAACTTCAAAATTGGATGTTCTAAATGTTAGGTATAAAGGCAAAAGACCAGGCTAGGTGAACAGAAATTCTTGGCTGGTACAGAGAAGCAGTTCCTTATTGGATGGTGCTTGCGCAGTGTTTGTGCAGCTAACACCGAAAAATTATGAAATTACAGTACTTTCTACCTGACTACGGGGCCAACTACTGTACCGAATACGAAACTGTTACCCCACAACAGTAGCCTCTTGATCGTGTTGTGTGTGTGTGTGTGTGTGTATGTGTGTATGTGTGTGTGTGTGTGTCTGTGTCTGTGTCTGTGTGTGTCTGTGCCTGTGCGCCGTGTCCGTGTGTATGTGTGTGTGTGTATGTGTGTGTGTGTGTGTGTATGTGTGTGTGTGTGTATGTGTGTGTGTGTGTGTTAACTGCTGAATGCAGACTGTTCTGTTCAACAGTGTACGTCCACATCAAGTAGCTGATGCATCTCTACAGCAAGAAGTAAGCATTATAATTTATGATGTCACTTTCTAGTTTCCACCAGTATACTATACCGAAAATGATCATGCATACGTGTAGGCTGTATGGAACCATTGTACATATCCCCACGTGGCTGATTTTTTCCTCTTGTACTCGCTAGATGCGGTACTTGCAACTGACCGCCCAGTGAATGCCAATAGCCAGTGATCCTATTTGAACACTAAGTGCTAGCAGCAGGGCTGGCTGGCAGAGTTGAACACCAGACCCTCACCATGGGTAGGGATCTCAGCGCGTGCAGTGCGCAGGGTGTTTGCGCATACATTGCGTCATCGAGTTTTGAGTGCAGCTCGCGGACACAGCAGAAAAATGGCGACGGTCGATTTTCGACACTAGGGGACGCGGTGGACACTAGCGGAATCGTCATCTTCATCGTCGCTCGAACATACTTTGTAATTCCCGCCGCGAGGACAGCGTGGCCAAGGCGATATTGCCCCGGTCGATTTTCCTATAATTTGCCATGCGGCAAGAACCCACTTCAGAGAGGATTCAGTCAAAAATTCAGACGTTTTCTCCGGTTAGATTGTCCTAACTTCGATTTTCAGTGCATCAGCCATCGCGAACATCGCCGCCATTATTACTCGGAGAGAAGACATCGCGCTCAGTAGAAGAGGTGTTCACGCTGCGTCCAAGAGTGAAAGATTGTGCTCTTTGACCCTCCATAGTTCCTCTGAGAGAGTGTCTGGGAGATAGGTAGCTTGGAGATGGCCGTAGAACGTGCTTTCCTGGACGCAATATTCAGCCATTTCTACTGTCTTCTTCAACTTGATTTATTTCGAAAAAAATGTTCTTTTCCACGATTTCTGCACTGGACGCGTTTGGGGTCGAAAATCTCACCTGCGCAGACCGGCTGCGCAGTTCACGCGCTGAGATCCCTACCATGGGTGCTTGTCCACACAGTTACGACACGTGCATATGCACACACCCGCATTAGCATCTGGTATACCATTGCGCTTAGAAATACGCTACTGGATGCCTGGTCTTTATTTGAAAGTTGATTACCGCTCCTATCCACAGCTCTGTATTTTCTTCTGCCTCTTCATTGAATGCTGGTCCTGTGGTTATGCAGCATCGTCTTCAATAAGCCTTCAACTAGGTTCTCTTCCTCTTCATCATCATCTGTTGCTGCTGCTGCTTCTTTTTTGTACAGCTGGTGATCTTCTTGGGAGGTTTTGTCTCAGGTCAGCCCAGCTTATTTGAAGGAATGCAGCGTATTCACCTTGGGTAAGCTATCCTTGATTCACCTTGGGTAAGCTATCCTTGCTTGCGTATCATCATCATCAGTTGCAGGATGTTCACAATGTACATGTACTTTTGATTGTCTATGAACTCGAATCTGTGAATCTACCTCTCGGCTGCTCTGATATCATCCCTTGTGGAACACCTCTTCCTCGTTGTGTTGCTATAACGTACCGCTGTAGTAACCTGATTGCTTGTCTGTTGTCACAACTATTCGCCTGGCCGTGTTCTGATACGATTACTTGCCAGGTCCATAGAGTAGAAGAAGGAGGTCACGCCTGGAACTGTATATTGTTGCTGCTGTGGCTGCTGTTGCCGGTGGTGGTAATGGTGTGTGTGTTATGGTTCCTGCAGTTGGCTAACGCAAGCAATGAGTGACGAATTGAAGATGCCTGGTAGTGAATACCATGTCAATGTAAGTTGTTGTTGTTGTTGTTGTTGTTGTTGTTGTTGTTGTTGTTGTTGTTGTTGTTGTTGTTGTTGTTGTTGTTGTTGTTGTTGTTGTTGTTGCTGCTGTTGCTGCTGTTGCTGCTGTTGCTGTTGTTGCTGCTGTTGCTGTTGTTGTTTCAAATCTTTATTCTCACGTTGTTGTTGTTGTTGTTGTTGTTGTTGTTGTTGTCGTTGTTGTCGCTGTTGTTGCTGTTGTATTTTATTATGTTTAACTGGGGCAATCCCCACGGGATGCCATAGGTTAGGCTGTCATCACACTGCGTTACAAAGCGCTGCGTCTACGTCCACGTAAGGAGTTTTTGGTCGGTTGTCATGATGATCCGTGTACGGGGTGAAAACGGGAGCAGAGGAAACGGGAAACGTAGACGTGGAAGGGAGAGGGGGGGGGGGGGGGGGGTATACAACTTTTTTTTTAACTAAAACGGGTGAACATGCGTATCTCACCCAGTCTTTTCCCGCAGCGACCTTGTACGTGCGTTTGAATTTTCAAAATTTCTCCAAAAATGTGGCCGCGTGTACGGGTCAAGAACTGTGCCTGTGTGATGATATGACCGCCCGTTTTGGATTTTTCACCATGGGCGTAGACGTAAACGGGAGTCAGAGAAAGTAGTGTGACGATGGCCTGAGCGAGCGAAAGAGATTGAATGAAGAAAAAAACCGGAGGCTGCATACTGTTCCATTATGTGATCCAAAAGAGGCTGGGTAGAAGGCTGTAAAAATGGTAGAAGTAAGGTTGTCTGCGACTTGGTTCCAGTGACCGTTGGAAGCCGCAAAGTCATGCCATAGACTGTGTAATTGCAAGGTTAGATGAGTTTCATCTGTTCTGAAAGCAGCACACGTGAGAGTGATGGTTTTTAAGAAGAGCTTTCGAGTGTCAGGTTAAAGAATGTGTGTGAGTGAATTTGTATTTTATGTTTTGATTCATTCTAGCTAACTGCACTGGATTCGTGTATGTGCTGTGTACTGTTGATGTGTATGTAGAGTATTTATCAGCTATCACCCAGTCAAATCAAGCAGCTCCTGCTGGAAGTACTGAGTAGCCGGTATCAGAATCCTGAGAGGTCAGTTTCAAGATAGTTATTATTCTGTGTATTCGGCATACTTCTGTAAGACTGTAACAGTGTGGTTATATGTTTGCTTCAATGCGCTTGTCCTACATTGTATAATCGCTTTTCTTGTTTGTGTGTGTGTTTTGTCAGTTGTAGCCAAATTATCCTATAGACTGCACTGCCTGCTGTGCAGCAGCTGCAAGCGTTCTTAAGTTGAAAGTGGTGTATACTATTTGTTTGTGTTCTGCACATCACCATCAGGACTTGGCTGCAGCAGCGGCGTCGTGAAGGTTCTCTTAACCGGGTACCTTCTCACTTCTATGAAAAAGGTAAGCGTTCTAGCCATGTTACTACTGCACTGGATAGGATGTATCTAGTGTAGTTTGTTTTTGTTGAGAATTGACCATCTTCAATCATCCTGTGCGGTGCCACATCGCCAGGCACCGAAGCTTGGATAAGTAAAACATGTGGTGTAACTGGTGTCACGAAGTTTCACATGAGGAATCCCATTTCACGTTATCTTGACTCGCTGTCGAGTCAGGCCTGTTGTGAATGTGTCTCACCTCATCCCCTTGCTTCAAGTAGTTTTATGCGGGCAATGTTAGCCTTGTTTACAAGTCCAAGTTGTTCCTAAACTAAAATACATCCTGAGCGCTGCTGCATCCTGTTGAAGACCAGTAGCAACTGTAGGAAAATCAAATGTATGTACTCTCTAGGCTTTGATCTGTCAATGCATAGCACCACTCTAGGCTTTGATCTGTCAATGTGTATCACCACGCGTCATGTGAACTTCTCTTTTCATTTCTGCTCCGTATGTTTGTGTGTATATTGCAGTTTTGCAGGTTCTTTTGCAAAGTCAAGGCGGCCTCAGTCTCTACAAGTATCACTTGCCGCAGGTGGGTGCAGTCCTTCTTCATCAATTACAGTTTGATAATTTACGAAGGTGGTTGTGTAGCATGGTGTCTGGCGTGGCATGGTATCTGTCACTATCTGGTGTGGCATGGTATCTGTCACTATCTGGTGTGGCATGGTGTCTGGCGGAGATAGTGGTGGTCTGTACGTGCAGTGAGTTCTCATTATGTTATAATCCGGACAGCTGTAATATGGCGGTTTTGTTTTGTTTGTTTTTCCTATGATGTATGCGTAGGAACCGCTCGTCCAAGACAACAAACCGCAGGACAAGTCGTTCATTCTGTGTGTAGAGGAGCTGCTCAGTCAGTCACCGTGTCCCGAGTACCGGCAGCTGATTGTGGAGTTGCTGGGAGTGCTTGCATCGCTGTTCGAGCGTAACTCCGAAGTGAATGCCACTGAAACACTGTCCTTGGACAAGGTTGGTTGTACATTGGTTGCATGCATGTATGTACATGAATGGTAGTGTGTATTATTCAACTATTTTGTACTTTTACCTATGAAAAAAAGGTAGCAGGGTGATTTACTTACCAGCTACATTGTATGTAGCTGAGCTAACCGTAGTGTTGCTTCAAGGTTTGTTCTCCTGATTGTCACCTATCCTCACCTGGCAGCATTCTTTCAGGGCCACTGGATAGCAATCTGTGTTTTGCTCATTACTTTTTATTTTGTTCGTTTTTCTTCTTCTTGCTAGCTGTTGATGAAGGCTGTGTCAATGTACGCAACTGATAATGACCTGGATACGGAGTCTATGGTAAGAACTAAACAAGTGGGATGGTGACTCTAGGGCAGTATTCTGAATTCCTGTGTTACGCCGGGCTGCACGACACTGTACTGCTTGGTAGAAAATGCTGCGCTAATTACGGTGCTATGGTTGAGCAGTGTAGTCAAGCAACAGGATCGGTTGCAGAGCTGTGGTATTTTCATGCAGATGCTGGACCAAGCAGCTGAGGCCTGCAGTACATACTGTAAAAGCAGAAATTTTCGGTGGTGTTTTATTTTCGGTAACTTCGGTGCCGACAATTTTTACCGATAATAAAACGCACCGAAAATTTCGGTACAACCGATACTGTATACATGTAGTACTAGTACACCTACCTGGAGAACGGGTTTTACCGAAAATTTCCCTCTACCGAACCGCCGATTTTGGAGAATACCGAAAATATTACACCACCGAAAATTTCTGCTTTTACAGTATACAGTCCTGCTCAATGAAATCCAATCGAGCAAGGAAGTTTTGTGCTTTGCACCTTTTCCCAGCCCAGTGTTTGCGGGTCCAGGGCTGCGTAACACCCGACGCGTACTTGAGTGACTCGATCGGATTTCATTGAGCAGTGCTGTACTATAGGTGATGGCATATGACTATATGTACACAAGACTGTGATGGGGTTGATTTACCCGGCATGCACTGTGGCTCCACTTTGGACCCTCCTGCACTGAACATCCCTCTTTACTCACAGTATTGCATAATGCTGCACTAAACCTTGCTTGATAACGCTATCTACCTCTCTGCAGACTACATGTTTGCTGCCAGTACAGTCGTTATATTCATGTCTAGTACTGTTGTGGAGATGGAAATCCAGTCGATTGACCGGGGCCGGAACCCTCAGCGCGTAGAGAACAGTGCACACTAGTATGTCATGTTGATCCGATGTAATGCGACCAGCGCGCTGCAGCGCATAATAGTCATGCATGATGTGTGTACTGCTTACCTCCGGCCGCATGGCCAGCGCCCTGCGACCGCTAGACGTGCGACCAGATTTTTAACCGCACACATCCGTTTTCCACCAAAATATCCGGATAGGTGAGGGAACCGGATAATCGAACACACATACTGTATGTATGCATGGCATATGCTGTAAATCGGTAACCAACTATTTTCTTCCGGATGGCGAGGGACCCGGATAAAAGAGGACCGGATAAGAGAGGTCTGACTGTATTATGTTCACACACTCTTTATGTGCTCAGAAAAACGAAGCGCTGACCCTGGCCTTCGCCCAGTCCTATCCACACGGCAATCAAGGCACGACGGCCTACCTGCTACGTGCATCAGTCGACCACTTGCTGCACAGTGACGTGGATTTCGATGCAAACAAATGTATCATAAGCTAATCGCCGAGCTTGCAGGGCTTGCTGCTGGTTGTGCTGCAGGCTAGTGCTAGTGCCACATCATGCAGTGTGCAATCACACGCACAGCGTTCCTTTGCTTCTCCAAATTTGTATTGAGACAGGTCTGCATGCTGCCTTACAGCAGTTGAGCCGTGATATTTTTTTTCATAAAATGAAAATCCCACACCTTGTTCAAAAAATAATTAATTCATAAGAAGAAACACCCACATGACAAGCCCCACCGCCACTGGCAGCATACTGATACTGTAAACTAGTCCTCCGCTTCAGTGATTCTGTAGAGCCCCATTGTTTGTTTGGTTTTTTACTAACTTTTTAGCAATACTTGTCTTGTCCCCAGTTTTATACCCGATGACTACTTTGCACCAACCACTATGTTTCAATTTATTTTCGTCGTCGACACACTCTAGGATCTAGGAACGCGTGAAGATTTTTTAAAAACATGAAATCCACGTCATTCTCACAACCCGTGAAACAAAAAACCAAAAAATCCATACCACTAGTTAAAACTAGGCTGTTCGCAACCCTTGTGGTGATATTTTATCTTGACAGAACAAACAGCGTCTAGGAATAGAGTGAGCGTGGTGTGTGCGTGTGCATGTCCAGTAATCACACGCATACATGCACGCACTCACGCACATCTCATAAAATAGTTGGCGCATGGGATGGAAATTAAATATTGGAAGAATAAGAGGAGGCCTATGCTGCATAAAAGGAGAGAAGAAAAGAGAAACCAATGGATTTTCCTAATGGGACTCGTCCGTCACTAGAAATGAGGAGTGGAGTCGGTCAACTCGCGTGCAGTATCCGCAAGTTTATGCTTGTTCCTGCTTGCGCTTGAGGCTCTCGGGCATGGAGGGCGGTGGTGGACGTGGCAAGCGGAATGTGATCTTGACCGTGTCGTAGATGAACCACTGTAGAGCGGTGAGCGTACCGATCATGATGATACGCGGCCCAAGGCCCTTCCAGAGGCCGGCCATGCCCAGCTCCTTTGCCGCCTGGACAGCTGTGGAGCCCTTGGCCGAGTTCAGCTTGGACACAACAGTATCGGCGGGATGCGACACCACCGCACAGAACACACCGGCAATGTATCCAGCCGCAAACGTAACCACCAGCTGCTCCGACTTTGAGCACTGTGCGCGCGGCTTGGGTACAACATACTTGTACAGAGCCTCCACCGTGCGCTCAAAGCAAGCAAACTTCATCATTGTGTAGGGGATCTGGCGAAGCCAGAGCGGGGGCAAGCCCTTGTAGAATCCGCCCAGACCTTCCTGGTTCCAGATCTTGGGTACACCTTCACGTAACGTGTTTGCCCAACCTGGCTTAGTCTGGATTCTGACCTTGACAGCCTCCATTGGTGCAAGAGCGATATCAGCGAAGAACTCGGCACTAGCTGATGCAGCTAGGTAGAGACTCGTGCGCCATAAATACGTCTTCTCCTCACCCAACATGTTAGAGTAGACGCTCTTGAATACTTCGTAGAATCCAAACTTGCACAGTCCTTGCATACTGTATCCAATAAACGTTGGAGCCCATCCTTTGGCCAGGCCACGAGCTCCTTCCTCGGCCAACGTGATCTGGAACCCTTTGATTGTGCCACTGTATTTGGCCGGGTCGACCTGGACACGGCATTTTACCAGATCCAACGGCACCACAGCAGTGTGGGTCAAACCACAGCTCAGCACACCACCAAAGCCGCACAGGGCAAAATATTTGGCGGAACCGTACTCGCAGCTATACTGACCCGACGAAGCCGACGCAGCGGCTAGAGAACGGCTGGGGGCATTCTTCGGAAGAGCTGGGTTGTGGAAAGGGTTGGAACGGGCAAGATCACTAAACGCGGAGAACATCTTTGCTGAAGGTAAATCCGCGGCTACTTCTAAACACAAGCTTCACTCTTCAAAATCTGACAAAGGAAAAAATATGCTCGCCCACACTTCAAGGGTCATTCTGCAACATTCAGCTCCGATCGTTCCTTTCCCGTCTTTGCTTGGTTTCACGGCGCAGTGGCGCTACTCCGCTAGCACTAGTACTAGTAGTAGTAGTAGTGGTAAGTACAAGTGGTATCCATGCAAGCGACAGGCATTGCGTAACACTGCATGCACTGTACTGGCCGGGCAGCAACTGCACGTGCAGGTTACGATGGCATCAACCAATCAAGTGGGTTGGGGAGAGAAATGCGTGCACGCTGACTGCATACAAGAGCCCGAAGTACGACTTCTTCGAAGAAAAGAAGAACGACAAAATAACAGAACACACTCGGATCCGCAGAGATCTTGCCTCAGCTGCCAGGCTATGTCAGGTTTCGATCTTGTCAACGGTCGGGCCTTGCACATAATCATTGTGATTGCAAAGTATTTTCACAGCATGAAAATTGTTACAACTCATTACACTGTTTTGGATAGGCAGTAGTGACCTGATTTCCAGTCGATTTTGTTGCCATTGGATAGCGTCCGAGGACACTCACACGAAGTCACACTGCCTGCCTGCATATGCCAATACTACTATTATTAGAAGGTATGAAACTATCAACAGCTATGGAGCTCGCTGCGATGCGGCTTGGGTTTCTACTTACTTCAGTAGATAGATATTTCCTACACAGGTATTCCAGGTATTCAACGGTGCAACATCGGGGGCACTTCAAACTTTTTTGAATACCCCTGCCCCAGTTCACCCCCAATACATGTGAAGTGCACTCCCGTCCACCAAGTTCACCAATTACTTGAAGCACACAAATACCAAAATCAATTCATATTCCAAGTCGTTCTACACTTTAGTTTATGATTTTGCCATAAACAAGTGCGCGTATATGGTGCACCGGTGATACATGTACATGTATGATTCTAATATTAATATTATAAAGTGAAAACGGGAGTCTCAAAACCTCATACGAGTCTCGCAATACGTTGTGGGAAATATGCCAATGACGGCGGCGGCATGAGCAACTAGTCAAGTCGGGTTTACCGTCATAATTCAACATGGACGGCTTATCAAGAAATCAATAATGGACACTGGTGCACCTACATCATACATGTAGTTTGCGCTGTCATAAAGATATCAACAAAAATAATATAAATTGTACCAGCCTGTGATGTGCACTAACTCTCGGCGTCACAAGTTTTGTTCTCGCCGACAGTGATCTTACTCAGTGCCGCAACAGAACTGTTCTATTGTCTCTGGCGACTTCGTGATGGTCCAGCTCTTGTAGCGGGCTCACGTTCCGCATAGTCAAATAACTGTGAAATGTTTGCAAAGTCGTTCCCTAGAGATCTGGGATCGGCTATGTGCCGTGAAGGAGGGCTTGGACACAGGTCTTCCTCTAAACGGCCATCGTGTGTGTCTACTTCGCTCTCAGTGGCGTAATGATATGCTCTGTCCGAACTGACCGGTGTACTTTCCTGCGTGCTACGCTGTATTCTCCGCTGTAAACGTTCCTCCAGGCCGTTGGTCTGTCCAGATACGTGCTGGTGAGGCACGGCCGCATTGTGTGGTGTTCTAGGCCTTGATGTCTGACCTGCAGCTGCTGTGATTGCTGCTAGTGCTGCTGGCAGTGCTGGCTTGCTGGTGGCGGCCTCGATTCCTTGCGGCGCTTGGCGCACTGCTTGCGGAGGTGACCTGTCAGGACTGTCTCTCAAAGAAGACCCCATGGGCGAGTGACGCTTTCCTCGGCGCATGTTGCTGCTCACGCCCGCATCTCTACCCCCACCACCACGGTATTGCTGCTGCTGCTGCTGTTGTCGTGTTGGTGTGTAGGCTAGAGATGGGCTGCTATGGTAGAATTGTGGAGTGCTTCGTCCTGAATCACTTGGGCTCATGCGCCGCGAGCCCTGAGCAGACGGGTGCAGCGATGTGGACGTCGTTGAAGGACCTGATGACTGATATCGGTAAGCCGCCGCAATTCTCTCATTGCGGTTTGCTCTGCTGTTTGGCCGACTCTTTCCTCGCGAATCAGGGCAATCCATATTGAGTTTTGTGGTGCTGGATGTGGTTGAGCTTGGTCTGGTTGACTGTGAACTGTTGGTGTAACTTGCCAAGAAAATGTTGGGATTACTTGGATGATGAATGTGAGGCGTATGGCAGGCTGTTTGATTTCTCGTGGCACATACCGATGTCATGGCTGTGTCTGTTGATGGATACACATCTCTACTACTGCAAGACAATACACTGTTTGGACGGCGGATCTCACGCAACAGTAGGTCAATGTCGAAGGGAAGGTCTCTGATTTCGCCGCCGCCTTCTTCACTGTACGGCAGAACGTCGTCCTCTTTGCTCTTGTAGACTGTAGTGACTTCGTATTCATGATCCTGGATGGCTGGCACTGGCTCCAATTCACGCTGAATGGCTTTCTTGATCTGTGCATCTTCACGCGATCCATGCAAGCACACACACAGGACGATGAGGAAAATGATCAGCACAGCTCCTCCAATCGGTGCACCGATGTAGATGATGTACCACAGGTAGTCCCTGGTCTCTGCTTTCGTGGCTGTGGTTGGCAGTGACATGCAATGCTGATCAGGCGGGCATTGGCATTCGTTCAGCACAGCATTACATTGATAAGGTGCTTGGCACACTGCACTGCAGCCACTACATTGGTCACTTGTCTCTCTATGCAGCCAGCTGATCTGCACCATCTCATTGCCAGCCTCCACTGGGAAATTGATCCTGTTTAGTCGTATGTCTCGAACACATCCGCGGAATGAAGCCACAGTGCCAACTTGAACTGTCAGTGATGGGGTAGTCTCCGGCAAGCCAGCAACAAAGATAGTCTGCTTGTGCACATCCACCCAGGTTCCTTGTTTTGTGCTTAGATATTGGGTGGTAACACGCTTGTCAACAGTCAATGTGACTAGATTAGAATGACGGCTCAATGTTATGCTATGCCAGGCATTATCAGTCAGCTGCAGTGGTGCACTCTTGACCTGCGCTGCTTGTTGTCCACCCAGGGTTGTGATGTATACAACCTGGCCAGCCTGCAGGAAAATCATAAACACAGCATGCAAGATAACGTTAAGCACATTTGACACCACTGCTGTGCAGTCACAAACGGTCAAAGACCTAGTGGACGCAATGCTAAGTAGACTATTCATTGACACGCACATGGGCATACCACCAGACCGTACTCTTGTGTAAAACTGAGGGTCTGCTAGTTGGCAAATTTCAACAATCATGTCCAGCAACAGGTGGTCAGCTTCAATGCTATCATCTCCCGGCTTTGGTGTTACTAAGAGACACAGGCAACATTTCGGGGGGAAATTTTGAAATCCGAAATTCCTCTCATCAGTGAACTCAGCCATTGTTTCCTTACTTACTACTTCAGGCAGAGTCGCCAATAAATACATAACACACTGTGTTCTTACCATCCACAGGAGAGCTTCATATTTGGATGCGTTTCTCTGATCTTGCATATACCACAGCACTTGAGGGCCACCTTCTTCACTGGCCGGCGTATCGCTTGCAGAAGGTCTGATTTGCATCTGAATCACGCTGTTGGGAGATGGCCGGAATGCGCCGCCTGGAGAAAACTGAGTGACGTTGTAACGGATATATCCGGATGGTGCCACGGACACCGCTGGCAATGCTGTGGATAAACAAGTTACAAAAACACCGTGTGAAGTTCATCCACCGTCCGTAGAGGTTACAAAAACATGCGAATATAAATTCATAGGTGATTCATCTTGATGAGTGACACTGGGCCTTCATGCAGATACCTGTGCCAGGTTAATCCAATCTGGTAGTTATCAGTTTGTGCAGTGTGAATAGCAGTGGAACAAGGTTCTAGTACGGTTCCGCTTTTTATACGCTAAATAAATCCGAGTAGCTGAGCAACCTTGATCAAATGAGCCGCCATCAACAATGTCCCGGCACTCAAGGCCCGGCCAGCAATTCGACCATTCTCTTACCTTGCTTGCATTCTCTGCCAGCTGATCCTAGTGGACATGAGCACGTGTAGCCTGATGAGAAACTAACACACTCTGCTCCCAGTGGACATGGATTAGACCGGCAACTATCCGGTGGAATGGCAGAGCAGCCCGCTGATGTGCCAGCGTCCTCCAATGAATCTGCCAAGTCTACCAAGTCACTGTTGATGTAGAGGTTACCCAGACAGCCATTGAAGCCTGAATTGGCTGTTAGCGCAGATCCAGATGTTTGATCTCGTCCCGTCAAGTACACAGGAAGGCCAAGAGTAAGATACCTGGAGGGGAACAGATGTGATACTGCCATGTTAGTGGAATTGCGTTGAAAAGGGAAACAACTGCAACCACTATAAGATTACATGTGTATGCCTCTCACACCTACTGCGGCCGTGCCGACTAGGTCACTAGTCACAGTGTGTTACATTCTACACTAGTACTGTGGACTGATCAGCTTCTCACATGAGACACAAAGATGAAACCATGCTCTCTCTCTCTTTCTCTCTCTCTCTCTCTCTCTCTCTCTCTCTTTCTTTCTCTCTCTCTCTCTCTCTCTCTCTCTCTCTCTCTCCGCACCCAAACACTGCCGGTTTCTTACTAGTATGGCCTATACTATATGTGTAGCATTACTAGTACATACCCAGATGTGCCTGTCACGTATCCTGAATCCACAAGCTGTGGTGTTGCAGATCCACTGTCCAGCATGAGCTGTGCATACTGCATGATGAAGACAAATGATCACATGACACACAAACACATTAGAAGTGGATGCCAGCTCGCCCAGGAACAAAGTGCAACAAGCAGATTTCTACCTGGGGAAACTTTCCGACCACCTACAACAACAGAGCAGTTCACTTCATGAATTACTAGAAATCTGAACACACTCGACACGATCATCATTATAGCAGTACCATTGCACGTACTTTGAATGCTGTGTACACACTTAAAACGTTATTACATGCAAGTAGACATGCCAGTGGACATGCAACCTCACATACGTGCACTGAGCACAACAGGCAAACAGCACTGCAAAGCACCCTAAGCTCATATTTGCATTCTGCACTGACCTGCGAGTTGTGATAGAGAGTGACGTTGTGCCACTGAGCATCAGCAACCAGGCCTGTGACTGACAGTCGCACTGCGTGATATTGATCAAACTGTACCGTGGCCTGCAGGCGCCCGGATTCGATCTCAATGGCAACAAAGCTGTGCCCTGCTGCTGCTGCAGACATCGTATCCTGTCCGTGTAGCTGTGTGTTGAAGTACAGCAAGCCGTTCTGGGTAGTGGTTCTAAAGTGGAATGCTATCTGATCTCTAGCACCTAGCTGCCTGGCTGGCAATGCTCGGAATCCTGTGCCAATGCTTGAGATGGTTGTGAGCTGGCAGTTTCTTCCTTGATACTGTGCTGGGCACATACACCAGTAGCCTAAGCCGTTGGGATTCGTGCTACACGTTCCGCCGTTCTTACAGGGCAGTGTGGCACAGGTCGGCGTCAGCTCACAGTTGTCACCGCTGTTGTGTGCCGAGCACACACATCTGTACCCCAGAGCAGCGCTGACATCCTCTACGCACGATGCACCGTTCACGCACAGTCCCGGCCGACACGCGTAATGTGCTTGTGTGCAGTCCTCGCCAGTGGTACCTGCCGGGCATGGCAGTGTGCAGTGGTAGCCATGGAGACCGACGGCACACTTGCACACATAGCCATTGACAGCATCATAACACGTGGAGTAGTTTGAACATGGGTTACTTTGACATTCGTCAATGTTCACTGAGCACAGAGTGCCTGTGAATCCAGCCGCACAAATGCAAGTGAACCCCGACCCTGCTGAGGTGGCAAGTGGCTGACATGTTGCACCGTGTTGACACGGGTTGCCGTCGCATGGTGACTGGCTGGCTGGTGAACTGGCCGCACTCGCACACATTGGACCCTGGTGTAGTGCAGAGCACTTACAGCTAGTGGCTGTGGAGCTCTGTGTACAGTTTGCGGCATTGGCGCACGGCACAGTGTGCATGTTGCACAGGTTCGGGAATGTAGAGTACTGGCAGGCAGTGCCGTAGAAGAGATCTCTGCATTTGCACGTGTAGCCTTGGGCTGTGCGTACGCACTGCCCCTCATTCTGACATGGACTGCTGCGGCATGAATCCAGCTGTTGTTCACACGTACTGCCATGGAAGCCTGGCAAACAGTCACATACGTATCCAGCCGTTGCCGAGGTGCTGTCATAGCATGCAGCACTATTGCGGCACGGCTGTGAGCTGCATGCACTGATGGGCCACGTGCACTGTTCTCCGGTGAAACCAGCCGCACAGAGGCACGTGTACGGTGCTGCACTACCACTGCCTGGCACACATGTAGAGCCGTGATAACATGGATTAGAAGAACACGCATTGTCAAGCACCAATGTCGCTGTCTGGCACTGTTGGCCTTGAAACCCGATCAGGCATGAGCATGTGTATGCTCCTCGGCCGGAGGTGCACCGCGCTCCGTTTTGACATGGCTTGGCCGTGCACGGGTCTTGAACTGCAGTGAGCGTACTCTGACCGCAGGCGGTGCCATGATAAAACTCTGGACATACGCACTGCTGTGCTGTGGAGAACTGTGTGTTGACGTGGCACGAACCATTGTTGAGACACGGGCAGGTGGCCATGCTGCTTAGCTTCACGGTGTTATTTGAAGCGGTGCTGCCGTCAGCTGTACTCTCTGTACTACCCATGCAGAGATAGTCCAATGTGTTAGCTGGTGACAGCGTACATGTGGTGCCACTAGGGCATGGCTGGGAGTAGCAGGCATCAACACTGAGCTCACAATGCTGGCCAGTAGTGCCCGGCATGCAGATACACTTGTAACCGTGCTTTATTGGGACGGAGAAAAACACTTCCGATGGAGAAACTGTCGATGTTTCAGCGCTGGTCACGGTAGAGACTGGCTCACATGTGGCGTAGTTCTTGCACGGTGCAGTGCTACATTGGTCAACGGGTAGATTAGTCAGTGAGGTGCCCAGCTGCTGCTCTATGGTGCTGCGATTGCGACTAATGCTCAGCACCAGTTGCTGTTGGCTTAGGAAGCTGCTGTGATGGCCGGCGCTAACAGCTACCGTGATGTCTGTATGCCCCGTTACCCGCGCTGATTGCTGTATTGCCAATAGGTAGATGTCATTGTAGAGAGCACCTGTAGCTTGCTGCACTGCACTGACAAAGCCATTGATGTGAAACTTCTGGAGCAATGTGTTTGCATTGCCTGCAACACTGAAAGTCAGGCTGTTAGCCACCGCTGCCGCAGGGACCGAAACGACATGTAATTGTAGAGTGCTGTTGACCGGTGGCTGCGTACCATCACTAACGCTCACTGTGGAATGGATGGTGCCTGCAGAGGGATTGCTCTGCATAAGACTGACCTCGCATGCCGGACTCACAGCCAGAATGGTTGGATTGTTGTTGGTGAGTGTTGTGCATTTGAAAGCATGCACGCTGTCAGCATCGATGACATTGACAGTGCCCAGGGGCCCTGCTTTCAGGGACTGGTTGAATGTGTTCACAATGAAAGTCCTGTGGCCGCCGGTCCAGCTCGGGCTATCATTGATGTCGTCCACGGTTACTGTAACCGTGGTGACATTGCTGACATTGCCGTACTGTGCCATGACTGTAAGCCGGTATGTTGGCGTCTTCTCGCGGTCAAAATTGGCCGCCGCGCCTAGGACACCGGTGCTCCTGTCCATGCTGAACATGTTGTTATCATTGCCACTGGTCAGTGTATAGGCAACACCGTGCAGCGCAGACAGTGCTCTATTCACAGTGTACACCTGTAGAAGGCTGGGCACAGCACTGCTATGCTCGGCCACTCTAGCTGTATAGTAGCCTGGAATGAACACCAGCTGATCATTGGAACTTTCCAGCACGGTGATCTACAAAGGGAGAATAAAGCCACAAACAAACAACATAAATAGTTTGCAGGGCAGCTAACAAAGCAGGAGTACATGGACCCCAATATACCGCCCCAACACTACCCTGGAATATTTATCAGGAGAGCCAACGGTTTTTAAATATGCGATGTTGATCCTGGAAGTGAACAATTTTAGTTTAGTGCTGGCAAAGATTTCACCCACCCGGCCCTGGTTAAGTCCTGTGACATTACTTGCATGCCCCTGCTAACACTGCACCGTAACACTCCTATTCGTGTCTTACCTGCAAACGTGCCATGGTGGACTTGGTAGTGACCGAGCTGCTGCTGTCTGTTGCTGTTACCGTCAGCTCGTATCGTTGATTATGGCCGCTGGTAAACTGTGCTGTTGTCAGAACAGCACCGTCTTGTGCAATCTCAAAATGGTCTAAGTAGTTACCAGCAGTGATGGAATAGACAATGGTAGCAGACTGGTCATCATCCGTAGCCGTCACTGTTACAATCCTCTTGCCAGCCATTTGAATGTTGTTGCCAAGGGTGAGTGTTGCTTGGTAGTGAGTCATTCCCATCGGATATACAAACCGGGGTGCATATTCATTGGAATCTCGGATGTAGACGATCACGCTTGTCATGGCGCTCTGCGATGAACCTACTTGCAGGATGATAGCAATGGCTAGGCTGTACTGCTGTCTTGCCTCAAAGTCCAGTGGTTTTGCTAGGTACAAAGCTCCGGTTGCGTTGATGACAAACTGTCCAGTGCTATCCCCAGCTGTGATGCGATACTGCAGTGGTGACGATGACACTGCGTAGATCTGCGTGACAAATGTGCCGGGCTGTGCGTTCTCAGCAATACTGGCTGTGATCAATGGTGCCAGGGAGACACCAATGTTGCCCTGTGGGAGCAGTAGAGGTGTGGAGCTTCTCCGCACTATGTGATGATGCTGGTGTTGCTGTTGCGCGTGCGGATCATTACTTAGATATATCACACCCACACTATGGATATCGCCTTCTGGCGAGCCAGCTCTCACACCTCTACCATCGGCGCTGGGTGTAACGCCCAGTAGTGGCTTGTTCTCAGGCAATGCAGGGACTTGATAGTCTCTGAGGCAGTCGCTCAGGATCACTTCCTTGCTTTCTTCAGGAGTAAGCTGTATCAGCTCATCTGTCGAGCAGATAGTGTTCTCCACTAGTTTTCGGCATTGCCTGGCAAGAGAGTTGATGATGGTGCCACTGTGTTCACAATCAATGTCGTATTTGTCGATGGTGGTCTGTAGAGCATGCAAGCCATACACAGAGGATGTTTTTGTTAGCCAGTGGGAGAGCAGCAGACATCTCGGACAGATACAACCTTCACTTGAACACTGTATGAGGTGAGTGTGTGTATGCGTGTGTGTGTGTGTGTGTGTGTGTGTGTGTGTGTGTGTGTGTGTGTGTGTGTGTGTGTGTGTGTGTGTGTGTGTGTGTGTGTGTGTGTGTGTGTGCACCATTCTCGCATCCAATGGTCCAATGGTCCAATGGTGTGTGTGTGTGTGTGTATGTGTGTGTGTGTGTGTGTGTGTGTGTGTGTGTGTGTGTGTGTGTGTGTGTGTGTGTGTGTATGTGTGTGTGTGTGTGTGTGTGTGTGTGTGTGTGTGTGTGTGTGTGTGTGTGTGTGTGTGTGTGTGTGTGTGTGTGTGTGTGTGTGTGTGTGTGTGTGTGTGTGTGTGTGTGTGTGTGTGTGTGTGTGTGTGTGTGTGTGTGCACGTGCCCGTACATATGAATAGAGTAGAGTAGAGTAGAGTGTACGGTACAAGTAATTTGAAGTTTGACGGTATTCAACAAGCACATTGTATTCCTTAGAGGCTGGTTGTTGGTGCCTTTTATTTGGTTGCAGAAAACATACATGACATTGTTTTGTTGTCGCCTCCTATGTAGCAGAACATCGAAACAAGGTCTTGGAAACATGTAGTTGTGAGCTACAATTTGAGTCTGATGAGGATGCTGAACGGTCTCTGCTGGGATGGCGGCTACACCTTAGCTCAGTGGTTAGAGCATCGCTGGCCTCAAGCTAAGGTCCCTGGTTCGAATCCTGGTGGTGACAGTCAATTTTTTCTTCAGACTTTTTTCTCGTTTGTGTCTTTCCCTCAAACCAGTGAAAAACATGTACGAGTACTGTACTTGGAAATAGTGAATCACTAGCACTGAGTCCAGTGTGTCCTTGTGCCTTGTTGTAATTATTTCCTGCCGTGTGTACAATTCCAATCGAATACTTGTATCCCTAGCACTTCCAACAATCTTCTTACCGTTTCAGAGCTGCTACAGAATAAAATTTTCATTCCTCTTCGTCCCGCCCCGGCATTGCCGTTCTGCCTCCATTTTCCTTGTTTGGCGTGCTGCTCAGCTCTCCTCGGTTCCGTGGGAGCATCAACTCCTTTGCTACTCGAGTATGAACTATGCATGCTGTTGGTTCGACCTGTGGCGGTGGCTCGGGGCTCTAATCGGTGTTTCACTTTGCTATGCACGGCGTCCACTGATGATGATAGTGATAAAGATGGTGATGGTCGTACCTCCCTACTGCTGTTGTGTTGGCTGGCACGGACTGGGCTGGCCCAGCAATCGTAACTATCTCCATCGGCGAACAGCCTGCGTGAAAGCTGCAATAGTCTGAGATCTGGAGCAGGACCATTCTCACGACTAGCTTCAGCCAGGTGATAAGGACAAGAGGTCAGTTGCAATAGTACGATGGCGACTAACAGACTAGTTAGTCTAGCGGACTTCATGATCGCCCTTGCCAGCAACACTCCGCTCATTGATAACTGACAGCGACAGAATAGAGTCTACGAACACATCAGGACTTCGCTCCACTACAAACACGGGCAGGAACGATGAGAGACAAGAAGGTCTCCTTCTTTAGAAGAAAGTTAGGTGAAGATCAGACTTCAAAGGTTCTCACATCTTCATTCTTCCATGGCTGATCTCGGTGTTAGGGTGAACAACAAAGCTGCAGTGACGTCGGTCAGCCACCCAGCATCTAGTCTTCATCCCGTAGTCGCCGACAGTGCATGGAGTATTGACCGCGTTTCCTGTAGCAAGCACGGTTGGTCGGATCGAGAAGAGAGGTTGGTGGCAAGAGGATCCGTGTCGTCCTAGGCTGGGTCAATGTGAGCCACTTCACCACGGCTAAGATTTCATCATCGACTACATCACTCGTTCCTAGTGTCCGCTCTACTCTGCAGCTCGGTCCATGTGTTTACTCGATATGGTATTTTATGTAGTGGCGAGGAAGACACTTCACTCATGTCATGCATCGTAGATGCGGCCGTTAGTCGCCACGTTACTCACATGCCCGGCCCATTGATTTTCAACCGACCTTCGGTATACCATGGTATACAGTATAGCTCATGCTATGGTAGTGGATGTGTGTACACGCACAGTAATGGTTCGTCTCGCCGAGTGTTGACTGCTGCTGTCTGTTGTAGTGTAGTGTTGGGCTAGGTAAGGGCAGTAGGCCGGCTGTAGGGGTCAAGGCAAGAGAAGGGAGTACATACCCCGTGCCTGGCCTGGCCCAACCGAGCCCAGACGTTGAGTTTTCGCACCATTCGTACAATAATTCACTGGATGTACCCGACTGCAAGTCTCCAGGCCGTCCAGGGCATTGTCTGTGCCATGTTCATACTCATAGACTAGACGTTTTCAAGAGAGGCACCTGTATGTGCGCTCACCTGCTGAACTCAATGTTGTTTGTGTCGGCCATCGTCGCATCGTCGCATCGAGGCACGATGTGCACTCTTGTCTGGACATGTAAACATCACCAGCACATTCCCGGGACATGTCCTATTGTCTGCGGCTGCACATGTGATTATTTTAGTAGTGCTATGTTGATAAGCGCGTGCAGTCCGTGTCGGGACGGCTGAGTGGCACTGGCAGGAGACCAGACCTCCAAGCTCAGCCTCTGACTCTGACTCTGACACTATACTAGTGATAGAAGACCGAAAACCGAGCACTCCGCCCGTCGAGAATGACATGCTGTCTGCATGTAGTGTGGCCAACGAGACGTGATCGCTGGCAGCCCAGGTCCCTGCTGCCGAGTGCTGGCATAACCATGATAACGTAACGTCGTTATCACTGCAGGAATGCAGGAATGCTACATCATGATTGTACAGTCCCCGACTTCATGCTGCGGGATCATAGAGTTGTCTGGGACCTGTGACTCTGAAGTGCCGCGGTGCCAGTGCCAGTGGCAGTGGGTGAGACAGAGGCGCCTGGACATAGGAGTGGGAAAAGGCGTTCATAACTCCCTAGGCCAGGGCGTTGCCGTTGGTCAACTCGTTACGAGGCAACCTTGTGCTCAGGTCTCAGGAGTGAATGGGAAATATCCTAACAGCAAAGTAGACTACTGTACAACATAGCACAATACCTGGTATCTGCGTTTTCGTCGTGTGTCATTCGTTACAAATCGTGCAACGATTTAACCACATGTGTTTCTGCGGTAGAGTTTAACTGAATCGGTGGTCGTCTACCGATGGCAGCAGCCTACTGGTGATCCCTTGCTCTGACAACCAATGTCATGATTTCCAGACAGCGGATACTATATGTGAGGTTTGCTGACCACAATCCGTAAACATACTCGTAGAACTACGAGTCGTAGTCAACACAGAATTATGTCTACCGCCTGCTGCTGCTGTTATTGCGTCAGTTGCTGACGCTGCATCTGCTTGTGTTCGTACTCCATGGTACTGCGGGAAACGGGGGTTACAATGGCCAGATCCTGTTTTAGCTTGTGAGATCCGAGTTGCTAGAAGACTCTGAGCACTGTGAGCAGGGACTGGCACGCCCACAGCTAGGGTCCAGCGGATAATGCCGGCATTATACGACTATTAGAGCATTATGGAGCATTGGAAAGGAACAAAACGAGCATTATGTAAGGTTTGAGGGGCATAACGAGTTTCATAGTGGATAATATCGGGAAATCCCAGGTTTTCGGCAACAATCGGCTACAATCATGATCATGAGATATTGTCTGATGATTGGTTTTTGCCATGAAACTTCTCAGTAACAACGAAACAGCCCTATTTTACTCCTTTTGTGTACCTCTTGCGTACTACGCTCCGCCCATTCCGGGCATTTGAGCACTAATATGCATTGTACCGGCGCATGACTTTGACATACATGCCATCTCTCCTGAGAAATATTCAGCCAAATATCAAAACATACGACATTATTTCGTTCGCTAATAACCGTTACCCGTCGTCTCACGTGGCTTCAGAATATGTTACGAGAGATAGGAGAGTCTCCAGCAGGCAGCGCATCCATCGTCAGGAAGTGGAAAGAGCAAACGGCATGGTCCTTGGTTGAGGTAAATGCTGAACGTTTGATTTGTCCCAACCAAGATTTCAGCACATGGTTCGTCACGATTTTCGCTTGCCAGCTAACGTCTCCGCACTCCAGCTTTCTTCTGTCGGTGTCACGTGCCAGTACACAACGGAGAGGACTACTAATAAACACTAAAACAGTTCACGGCACTAACAGCATTGAACACAGCCCTTCTTTCACTTCGTGAATACAATAAGACAACTGAAAATGACACAATTCTGCAGTGATCGACCTTCTCTCTCACGAAGCTAAGCAGAACGTGCGTCATCACCTGTAGTCGCCATGGAAACGCAATCAGAAAATCGGCGATATAGCAAGTTTGCAGGCGAGAGATATGCCATCGGAACCGATATGAAATTGTCTTCCATCTGAGCCCCTATTGAAAAATCGATGCACTTCCCCTTTAATATTGCTACATAAAAAAGTTATGATTGTAGCGATGTGGTCAGTTAAATGTATACATGTACAAGCCATTTGTGAAGCATGCCCAACCGAGGCCGAGGCAGTTCAAGACACAAATCCGGAGAAATTGTTTACGCGGTTTCTTTTACTTTAGAATAATGGAGAGCTATGGAGTGAACATACGCGAAGTGAATATCAAACAGACGAAGAAGAGTTTTCTCGTTGTGCCAGAGGCTCTCGCGATAGCATCTCTAGCGATACTGAAGTAGACACTGATGCATTGGACCAGGATGAAGGAGCGGCTATAAACTAGGGCTGAGTCGGGTAGCATTTTCTTCGGGTATCGGGTCCGGGTAGTTTTCCACGGGTAGCACGGGTACCCGATCGGGTAATGTTTCCATGGTAAGACCACAATGCACACCGGCCGGCCCCTTCACTTACATGTTACACACTGGGTAGACATGCGTGAGTTATTTGTACACGTGCACTGACTGTAGTGTAGACCTCTCTCTGTCTACTCTTTCTACATGATGTCATCTGCGACTTCGGGTTTTCGGGTACGATTCTGTACCCGACTACCCGAGGTCCTCACGGGTAGCACGGGTACCCGACTACCCGTGCACACCAAAGAGGTCGTTCCAAAAGAACTGCCTTTGCCGAGTCCAGCTCAGGCGGCTCGAAAAGAACTAGAATTTCTCATGGACTCTGTACCAAGTCGATTGCTCAGCAGCGATTGTCTTACTTTCCTGATGAAGCACGTACAGTTAGTTGTGGACGGTTGTAATGCCAGGCCTACAGTCAAATGCTTTCAGAAAGGAAGAGTATTGTGGCAAGCCATACGTCTACACACCATCTCAAGGAGAAGATGAGAGCACAAGCAAAGGATGTAGAGTGGCAAAATAACTTCTGACCACGTGTTTTCAGGATTTCCTCAAATGGGAGCGCTCTCCATCTGAGGTCGGATCTCAGGAGCTGGCCTCACGTCTGGTGTTTCAGATGAAGACCTTATTCACAGAGTGGATGCAGTGACAGCTTGTCTGCAGGCAGGAATACTATTTGCCAAGATTAACCTCATCCCAACAATGAATGACTACCTGCAATAATGGTTTCATCTCTCACTACATAGGGGAAAGATTTGATACAACGACTATTCTGCCACAACCCTGCATCAAAGTTGGAATGGAGAGCAGTCTATGGAGAAGCGATCATGTCTTATCGTGCTAAGAAGTGGTGGAGCTCGTGAGAGATAAGGTGGCAGCTTCAGAGGCAGATTGACGATATGTATAATTTCCTGGAAGTTTGACAATGTGCTGACTTTCTTCCATTTTTGTCCCAAACCAAGAGCATTATATCCCTTGCTGAAGCATTATAATCAGCATTATAAGGCAGTTTTTGGAGCATTATGGTCAGCATTATACGAACATATTCGGAGCATTATCCGCTGGACCCTAATCTCAGGCAGCAAAATAATAATAATATTATGTACAGTCAGTACATGTACTGCTCAATGAAAACCCTCGACGGTGGGTCAATCACTGGGATTTTCCGCACTAGAAGTCTGGAACAAGGCTCAAAGCCTACAAAGGTGACTCAGTGGATCGGATTTCATTGAGCAGCACTGTACATTGTAGTCGATGATTATGTGCCTGGTGTTTAGAAACTTGGGGGGAGTGTGGGGGTAGAACTGTGCCTGCTAGTATCGGTGCCTTTCCTTCTTTGAAAAGCAATGCAGACTCCGGCTATTCGGTGACCAACTAACTTGGAAACTGGTAACTGATCCCGGCCCCTTTCTCCCCATGTATCCGTCGATGTTTTGTGTACAATCATCAGATTCTACACTACAGCCTGGTCTACAGTAGGGACTAGTAGTACAATGTAGTAGGGTTGCACAGAGACAGTGCTGCTACACATGATGTACTGTAGTTACCGCAGTGTGGTTGTCTGCCGTGACGCACGTCCAACGTTTCTGATTGGAAAGACATTTTCGAAGATTTCTAGTATTCTAAATCACTTTGTGACTTTCCAACTAAAATAATTATAAACCAGACACTTCGGACGGCACGGCACACAACAACCACATGTGTACACTACAATGTATTGTAGTACACACTATCGCCCATGGACGAGGTGGCGGGAGTCACGCGGTATCACTAAGCAGCTAGCTGCTCGGCACAATGTTGCCCTGGGAGAATCGAAACCACGGAGTTTGACGCACGTTGAATCCACGCTTGCCTGTTCTGTACAGTAATGCAGTCATGTACAATGTAGTTAGGCAGACTGTCCTCACTCTAAGTCTTGGTTAGCAGTGTTCGACTGTGGATGCCTTCACTTCTTCAGATAGCAGGGTAGAATCTAAGGATATGCACAGGCAAAGCGATGACTACAAAGTACAATCAGCCTGTAGTATTACTATTAGTTTACTATTACTGTATTTCCTCAGTGAACTAACTTCACTGGAACAAAGTGAACATGGCGCTCAACGTGGTAGAGCATGTAAAACAAAATTGTCATTTTGGTTTCTCATGGGTGATCCTAGGCTATCACTAGTACGAGGAGGTTGCAGTGCCAGTAGGACTAACAATTAGGCTACAATTGTAAGAGAATAGCAGCTGGTCATAGTAATGGAAGTACAGTACATGATACTGTTTTTCTTGTAGTGTTGGCTTACTGTGCCTGGCTAATTTGTAGTTACACAATAGAGTAGCATTCCATAGGACTTAAAAACTGTTTCCATGCGTCGAAGAGAAAGTAATGGAAGCTGTGGAGGTGACCATGGTTGACCCTGGCCTGGGCGAGTGACCGGTCGCGCATCATCCACTTCGCTTCCGTTGCCAGCCGCCTTCATTTCTGGTACAGCTCCAACAACGAGGTCTACCGCCGGTGATCCTGCCTGCTATTTGCAACACAACGGCCTGTAGCTAACCGTTTGTAGACCTATTCGGGCTTCTTGTGTTTGTTTGGGAAGCATAGTCTGTCAGTTGCACCTGTTTGTTGGGTGATCGTAATCATAGTAATGTGCGGGTGTATCCTAACGGAAGCGGATCTGTCCCGCTGTGGCTACATGCAGCGACCCATTTTCGTGTCGTCTGGAGATTGGACGGTGACCAGTGACTGCGCATCTTTCGATTCTTTACAAGGCCACCTGCTTTTGCGTGAGCTCATAAGGGCAAATCTGTTGGATGGCAATGACACTCGTCTGCACTAGTATAGTGGCCGTGGGATGCAAAGGACGACCGTTTCATCCGGTGTAAAGATGGTGCGGACATAATCAAAAGTTTACAAACGTGGAACTTTGCCACAGGTGAGAATCGTGTACATGATTGTATTTACTTTATAACTACAAATTTTCGTTTGGAATTGACTTTCGCTATATTCGTTAGGGGGCACGAAATAACTAAAGTTTGTACCAAACTAAAGTTTTTTTTTCTGAACGTTCAGGGTGACAGACCTCCACCAAAAACGAATTTAGTACGTACACTGTATAACAAGCCTGCTGGTGGAGTGATGTAACGAAAGATTTCGTGAACGAAAATTTGTACTTATTCAATAGTTGGATGTGTTCCACGGGCTTGTATGCATGAGCTCGGGTTTAGTGTTTCATCAAAGGAAAGTTTGTGATTGCGAACCGAAGTGCACATCTGGGTCGTTTGGAGTTTGTTTCGTACAATACCAGAAAATAGGGCACTTGAAGAGAGAACTGTTACTTGGCAGTGGGTCATTGAAACAATGTGACATTAATTTTTTGATTTCTAACCTCAGATCTACCTTTCTTGCAGTGGCTGTCTAGCCCGCGGGGAAATCACAACAGTATTCTTGCACTGCTGGCAATGTAAGTCTTACCATGGCTAGCATTTTCCCAAAGATGGCAACATACTCGCAACTTATGCTTTTCGCAACCATGCCAAAACAAGTGAAAGTTGCTGAAATCTCATCCAAATTTTCAGAAAAACTCAGCGGCGGCTAAAAAGTTGCTAATATCGCAACTCAAAACAAGTGAGTTCTTGTGCATAATGGCTAGTATATGAGTACAAGAATGCTCCAGCTATTATCTGGTCCTTTCTTTGCCTTCTCCAGGGCAGCAATGGCTGCCTGAACCCAGGATAATGCATAATGATGCCGAAAACAACCAATAAAGGAGCGGAAATGGAAAGTACTGTGGCGCAGCACAACTGCTTGGGTAAAGTCATGCGTACTTTGAAGTGCATATCAATACATATGTTCACAGCGGAAAATGAACAGACTTGGAATGAGTCATTGTCTTTTTTTTTAGTGTTGAACCTTCGAGCAGCAATCATGACATGGCGGCATGCTCAGTGTTGCCACATACATGTACATGTACTTCGATGTCATAATGATTTGATGCAATGTTTCAGTGTTTCTTGTAGAAGCGGAGCATCAGGGACACTTCAATGGTCTCCTCCAGGGAGCTTCTCTGCACACAGTTGCAGAAAAGGTGCGAAGTAGTTTGTGAAAATGAAGAAAGTTGCGAAAGCTGTGATTTCTTCCAAAACAACAAAAAGTTACGAAAAAGTGGCGAGCATCTTTGGGAAATGGCTAACCATGGCACAACTGATGCATGGGTGTCGGAGTCGGACCAATATTCTGCCCCCCCCCCCCCCCCCCCCCATCCCCTTCCCCTCCCTGTTGTGTATCGGTAGAAAGACTTTTCATGGCTCTTTTTGTTGTGGTCCTTTCGTTTATTTTGGTTTGTTTTGCGTTCTGCTTTGACTTGTTTTGGTTGCATGTATAGTTTGTACATGATCCAAGTAACGGTTACGTCATTGTCATACGTTGTGTTTTGTTGCGCGCATGCTCGTATGCTGCCATAAATGTTAGTCTTTCTCTTCAGTTTTCAGTTTACCTCGTCGTGTCCGGTCTTCTTGTCTGTCCGTCTCCGTCTTGTCAAGAAATTATGTAGAACTCCCAGATCAGTTTCGTTGTTGTGTGTGGCGGGTCGGATGGGCAGGGAGGCTGGGCCCCTGACGCCTGGACAACATGTGCGAGTGCACGAAATTTGGCGACCACGCCAGGATTGTCAGGGAGACGAGGAACTGGCAGGAACTCCGGTGCGAAGGAAAACGCATCGAGAACAAATCACCAAAACGACGTCGTCTGAGCTGAAGGCGCTGAGCGAGGAAACGTCTGCGAGGAGTGGCTGGCTCGTCGGAGCTGAATGCGCTGAGGGCAGATGAAATGGATGAACATCTGCGAGGAGTGGCTGGTCCGCCGGAGTTGAATGCGCTGAGGGCAGGGACGTCCCGCGAGGTGGCTGGTGAAGACGACGAGGTTGGTACGACGGAAGTCGTTGGAGCTGAATGCGCTGAGGGTAGACGAAGTCGGATAAACGTCTGCGATGAGTGGCTGGTTCCTACGACAAGGACGGTGCGAAGGAAAACGCATCGTGAGCAAATAACCCCATGTGAGTGTGACGCGGAGTTTAGAAGGTGCTCCTGCTGTGATTTGTTGACTAGTTTGATTCGATTTGTTTTGAGTGGTTTGGTTTGCTCGATTTGTTTGGTAGTTCGAGTTTGGTAGTTCGGTTTGCTCGAGTTGTTGATTAGTTTGTTTTGCTCGAGTTGTTTGTTAGTTCGAGTTTGGTAGTTCGGTTTGCTCGATTTGTTTGAGTTTGATTTGTTTGTCCCTGGTCGGATGTTGACTTTCGTTGTAGTTTTGTTGGCGTGTCGATCGTTTATTTGTTTATTTGTTGCCTCTTGTAGTTAGTTTGATTAGTACGCTTGCGGCGTATACTCGTAGGGCACAGTGTTCGCAGTCCTCGTAGAACCCTGAAAAGGTCTTTGGTGGGGAATATGTTGTGTATCGGTAGAAAGACTTTTCATGGCTCTTTTTGTTGTGGTCCTTTCGTTTATTTTGGTTTGTTTTGCGTTCTGCTTTGACTTGTTTTGGTTGCATGTATAGTTTGTACATGATCCAAGTAACGGTTACGTCATTGTCATACGTTGTGTTTTGTTGCGCGCATGCTCGTATGCTGCCATAAATGTTAGTCTTTCTCTTCAGTTTTCAGTTTACCTCGTCGTGTCCGGTCTTCTTGTCTGCCCGTCTCCGTCTTGTCAAGAAATTTGGCGACCACGATGGGACACGAACCCACAATCTTCTGATTCGAAGTCTGGTTGTTGTTGTTCCTTCCGTGATGGACGGATAGTTTTCTTTCTCTCTTGTTTCACCTATATTCATATTTCTTGCAATGTAAAATATCACCCCACTGGTTTGTGTGAGCTGGTAGTCGGTTGGACCAAATTTTGGCGACCACGCCAGGATAGACGCTGTGTTGGTCCCGTGGCGCTGACGGAAAATGGCCACGAAGCTCAAGGAGAAAACCAGCGAGGAAAAAGGATGCAAGACAGAGTCCGCGGGGGAACTGCTATTGGAAGAGCGGTTTCTGAGAGTTGGGCAGGCCCTGGGGTATGAAGGGAAACAACTCGCGCAGTACGTGGACAGTAAAGTGGCAGAGACAAACGATCGAGAGGATCGTGCCAGGGAACGGGAGGCGGTGCGCACGCTGCAGGAGCATACGCAGCGGATGGCCGAACTAGAGGCGCAGACGGAGCGCTCTCGACTGGAGGCTGAGCGCGGACCCACGACGAATAGTGTGAACGCGGAGGAACCGACAACCCCGCCGAGGAACCGGATAAAGTTTCCGAAGTACGATGAGCGAAAAGCAACGGAGATCAAGGAATACCTAAGTCTTTTCGAGGATATTGCTCAGCAAAATCGGTATAGCAGAGACGATTGGCTAATTCACCTGCGTGTAGCGTTCTCTGGGAGCAAGCTGGAAAAGGCGTTCTCGGGATGTGCCTCGTACGACGAAGCGAAGAGGGAAGTGCTGCTGGCGCACGGACTGACCGCGGACAAGGTGTGGCGAGATGCCAAGTCCATTACGCAGCTCGACGAGTCGTTCCATCATTATGTAACAAGAGTAGCAAGGCTGCTCGACTCGTGGATAGAGCTGACGAGCACTGCCAACGCAGAGGCTGAGGACGATGAAGCGCCTGACGTACTTGCAGTATTGGTCAAGCAGCTAGCATTGGATGGATTGCCAGCCGAGATGAAAGCGTTCCTGATTGAACGAAAATGCTTCCACATGGACATGCCCACGTTCCAGGCAACTGGCGTCTCATATCAGGAGGCGCACGGACGGCGGAAGGCAGCTGAGAAACGGCCCGTCGCTCCACCAGTCCAACACAGTGCGCAGTGCCTTGGGGTGTCAGTGGAGCAAGCCAAGAAGGATTTGGCTAAGATGGGAAAAACGTACGATCGCAGAGCATACGTACGCAATGAAAAGCTGTGCTACCTCTGTTTGGGTGGGGGTCACCTGGCAGAGCAGTGTCAGGCCAACACAGGTTGCAGCAAGTGCGATGGCAAGCACCACACGTTGCTGCATGGGAAACCAAAGCCTAAACCCGCCAAGGACCGGGATGAGAGCATCAACACATACAGTTGTACCACATCGGCACCGGTGCATCTCATGACAGCTGTAGCGGAAGTATGCGCCAAGAAGCGGGCACGAGTGAGAGTCTTTCTGGACCCAGGGTCACAGGCCTCATTTATTTCCTCATCGCTAGCGGCAGCCATTTCCCCCAAGTGTGTAGGGACAGACCAGGTCAAGGTAACGGCATTCGGCAATGAGCCCGTGGTCCAGAGAATGGAGCGCCTTGAGGTTGCAGTGACGGGTACCTCGGGTCCTATCAAGGTACACGCCTGGAAAAATGACAACATGAGTATGCGTTTCCCGCCAGTCGCCAAGGCAACGATATGCCAATGGAAAGCGAGCGGCATCAATCTGAGTGACCAACCAGGCGAAGGTACGCCCAACGACGTCCATCTCCTGATTGGTGCAGATCACTGCAACGACATCCTACTGCAAAAACGGGTGGTCAACGGCAACACCGCCTGGGAAACGGAGATCGGCTGGGTACTGTCTGGCCCAACTAAGGACGCCGAACTCGGATGCACGGTGTCAGTTGCCTGCGTCGAAGCGAGGGTAGAACGGTTGTGGCAGCTGGAGGAGCCACCAAGCGTAACGAGCCACCAGCCTGAGTTCCCCATAGAGCAAGTGGGGACGCAGTACCAAGTGGGGCTGTTATGGAGGTCTGACCGCCGACCACCTGAAAATTACACCCAAGCTATGGCAGCAGCTACCAAGCTGATGGATCGGCTGAACGTCAAGGGCAAGAGGCAGCAGTATGACAACGTGCTCATGAGAGAGTACAGCGAGCTAGGAGCTATCGAAAGAGAGCCGAACCCCGAACAGCCCGGCTACTACATGCCACATCATGCCATCTTCAGGGAGCACGCCGCTACGACCAAGACAAGGGTAGTCTTCAACGCATCGGCATCGGCAACTGGGAAGTCATCATTGAATGACCTGTTGAACCCAGGACCATCGCTACTACCCGATCTGGTGGGCCTTCTCCTACGGTTTCGTGAGTATCAGTTTGCACTACAAGCGGACATTAGGAAAGCTTTTTTCATGATAGGCATTAGAGAAGAGGATAGGCCATATTTGCGCTTTGTGTGGCCCGAGCTGGGCGAAAGCGAAATGTGTGTTTGGCGGCTCACGAAATTGCCATTCGGAGCCAACTGCTCCCCCTTCATTCTGAATGCTGTGTTGTTGCACCATTTAGATAGGCTGCTTGCATGCGCTAATGATGCTGATCGTGCTATGCTTGCGCTGTTACGTGATAGTTTTTATGTTGATGATTCAGTAGTTAGTGTGTCTAGTCCTGCCCAAGCCGACCACTTTCGAGAGTGTAGTGTGGTAGCTCTGCAAGGTGCAGGCATGGATCTGAGAAAGTGGCGTGGCAACAACATCGTCGGTGATCCAGAGTCTGGCGGCAAGGTGCTAGGGGTCGAGTGGGACGTCGACGACGATGTGATCGCGGTAGCAGCAGTAGGTGACACTGACACCAAGGAGTCACCGTGGACCCGGCGGCAACTTCTGCACTGCGTAGCATCTGTATTCGACCCGCTTGGTCTAGCTGCACCTGCGGTACTACCAGGGAAGATCCTGTTGCAAGGGTGCTGGAAACTGGGTGGCACCTGGGATCAGCCGCTTCCGAGTGAGATTGCAGCCAAGTGTGCGCAATGGTGGGGAGATGTCTCCAATGTTTCGCTTGTGACGGTGCCACGTTGGATCGGCGGTAAGCCCGACATGCCGGTAACGCTACATGTATTTGCGGATGCGTCAGAGAAGGGTTATGGCTGCTGCATTTACATCGTAGTTGACGGTGTAGCATGTCTGCTGTGTGGGAAGAGCAAGGTGGCACCAGTGTCGGCGCCAACATTGGCTCGCCTGGAGCTGGAAGCTGTGTGCCTCGCCTCCAGGTACCTCTCATTCGTGTGTAAGGAGTTGAGAGTGCAAGCAGAGCGGATTTTCGGTTGGACCGATAGCCTCACGACGCTGCAGTGGATTACGAATCCATCCTACCGTTGGAAGACATTCGTGGCTAATCGAGTGGTAGCTGTACAGCAGACTGCGAAGGAGCTAGATGTGAAATGGAGTCACTGTCCGGGAGTGCAAAACCCGGCTGACCTTGCATCACGCGGTTCTCCCGTGGGTAGTCTTGAAAGTAGTGACTGGCTGAAGGGACCAGCCTGGTTGACGAGTCCAGAAGAATGGCCAGACACGCAAGCCAACACCGACACGAGTGAATCGGTCACGGAAATGCGAGTTGGAGTCGTGACAGCGGAGCCACAGAACCCCTGGTGGGAGCGTTTGTCAAGGTGGACCCGGGTAACCGGAGTTGTTGTTCGCATGTTGCAATGGCGATATCCAACTAAGACGCGGGCGGAGATCCTGCCCAGTGCTGAGGCCAGATTGTACCGACTGATCCAGCAGGAACTGTTCGGACCGGAGTTGGCTGCACTGCAGAATGGCGAGCCGCTCAGCTCAAGTTCCAAGATCGCTAAGTTCGGCCCGTATGTGGATGACAGTGGGGTCCTGAGAGCTGAAGGAAGATTGAGTGAGAGTGAGCTGCCGTACAGCGCTAAGCATCCGGTATTGCTCGGCAAGCACTACTTGACATCGTTGATTCTGGAGCGGGCCCATGCGAAGCAAATGCATGGAGGCGTAGAGACGGTCCTGGCATCACTACGTCAGGAGGTGTTAGTGATTGGTGTTCGGCGCGCCTTACGCGGCATTGGATCTCGGTGCGGAGTCTGCAAGCGTTACAAGGCGGCCGCTGCTACCCAAGTTACACCACCACTGCCGGCGGACCGTGTGAGTCATGTCAAGCCATTCGGACTGACAGGCATTGATTATGCGGGCCCATTGATGGTTCGTAAGGGTGACCGAGTGGAGAAAACATGGATTGCTCTATTTGTTTGCGGAACAACGCGGGCAGTTCATCTAGAGACAGTCGACAGTCTGTCCACGGAGTCATTTCTGCTGGCGTATCGGCGGTTCGTAGCACGCCGGGGTATCCCCATCCGCATCCGTTCGGATAATGCCACTACCTTCAAGTCAGCATCGGAGAAGATCAATGTTGTATGGTTGTTCAATCCTCCAGCGGCTCCATGGCATGGTGGATTCTTCGAGCGTCTGGTTGGAGCTGTGAAGGCACCATTACGCAAGGTGTTGGGCAAGGCGATGCTTGGTCCGCGTGAATTGGATACTGTATTGGCTGAAGTGGAAGCAGTGGTGAACAGCCGTCCGCTCACCCATGTGGCAGACACGGATGATGACTTACCCCTGACGCCTGCAATGATGATCAATGGTGTTTGGCAGGCAGACGAGATCAGCGCCGAACAAGCAGCAGGGCTGACGGCAGAGCAGCTCAACGCAAGACAACGGTATGTTGCTACATTTGGCGACCACGCCAGGATTGTCAGGGAGACGAGGAACTGGCAGGAACTCCGGTGCGAAGGAAAACGCATCGAGAACAAATCACCAAAACGACGTCGTCTGAGCTGAAGGCGCTGAGCGAGGAAACGTCTGCGAGGAGTGGCTGGCTCGTCGGAGCTGAATGCGCTGAGGGCAGATGAAATGGATGAACATCTGCGAGGAGTGGCTGGTCCGCCGGAGTTGAATGCGCTGAGGGCAGGGACGTCCCGCGAGGTGGCTGGTGAAGACGACGAGGTTGGTACGACGGAAGTCGTTGGAGCTGAATGCGCTGAGGGTAGACGAAGTCGGATAAACGTCTGCGATGAGTGGCTGGTTCCTACGACAAGGACGGTGCGAAGGAAAACGCATCGTGAGCAAATAACCCCATGTGAGTGTGACGCGGAGTTTAGAAGGTGCTCCTGCTGTGATTTGTTGACTAGTTTGATTCGATTTGTTTTGAGTGGTTTGGTTTGCTCGATTTGTTTGGTAGTTCGAGTTTGGTAGTTCGGTTTGCTCGAGTTGTTGATTAGTTTGTTTTGCTCGAGTTGTTTGTTAGTTCGAGTTTGGTAGTTCGGTTTGCTCGATTTGTTTGAGTTTGATTTGTTTGTCCCTGGTCGGATGTTGACTTTCGTTGTAGTTTTGTTGGCGTGTCGATCGTTTATTTGTTTATTTGTTGCCTCTTGTAGTTAGTTTGATTAGTACGCTTGCGGCGTATACTCGTAGGGCACAGTGTTCGCAGTCCTCGTAGAACCCTGAAAAGGTCTTTGGTGGGGAATATGTTGTGTATCGGTAGAAAGACTTTTCATGGCTCTTTTTGTTGTGGTCCTTTCGTTTATTTTGGTTTGTTTTGCGTTCTGCTTTGACTTGTTTTGGTTGCATGTATAGTTTGTACATGATCCAAGTAACGGTTACGTCATTGTCATACGTTGTGTTTTGTTGCGCGCATGCTCGTATGCTGCCATAAATGTTAGTCTTTCTCTTCAGTTTTCAGTTTACCTCGTCGTGTCCGGTCTTCTTGTCTGTCCGTCTCCGTCTTGTCAAGAAATTATGTAGAACTCCCAGATCAGTTTCGTTGTTGTGTGTGGCGGGTCGGATGGGCAGGGAGGCTGGGCCCCTGACGCCTGGACAACATGTGCGAGTGCACGAAACTCCCCTTTGCTCCTCAGTCTCCCACCGATTGAAATTTACTGGGCATAGGGTTCATATTACTGTAATATTTTATCATGCAAGGTTGGCAAATGCAATCAGATTTAGTTTGGGTTTTGAAAAATTTCCGGAGTCAAGAACACTTCTTACAAATCTGGACCAATCGAAAAATGGCTTCCGACACCCATGTGATGTAACAGTGATTTGTCTATGTGACCATTTCCAAGTCTTTTTGAAAGTTGAAGTTGACCTGTAGCAGGCTCAGTCTCCATGTGATAGATGAAGAACTGAATCAATGAGAACCGTGTGTGACTTACTACGGGTGCCTGATAGATGCATAGTGCCGAGGGACATAACCAATGTGTAGTGCTACTGAGGCTCGTGGGCTATCCGGGAAAGGTGCACATCAGTATGTAGGGAGGGGGGGGGGCAGGTTGGCAGGTTGCTACAGCAGAAAAGTGTCCATGGGGAGGGAGGGGGACCAGGGTACCAGTAAGAAGAGGAGGGATGGGAATGTGAGCGAGCATGGCCTTTTGCCCATTTTACGCATGCTGTCCCTCGAAGATGCAGTGGATAAAATATTGATATCTCACTCAAATGTTGTCCCATTTGGGTTTCAGGTCATTCCAAACTGCCCAGAAGTGCTGAAAATAATTGCCAGAGATTCTCAGCTTTCTCAGCAAAATTAGATCTAACAGGTTGTGTTGAGATTCAAGAAAAAGTTTCACTTGAGCAATTGCAGTGAGATTTCAAGAGAGATAGAAACGAAGTTTAGCGAGTATATTTTGATTTCAGTTCATTGCCACAGTACAAAATTCAAGAAAGGAAATTCATAAAAGTAAAGACTAAAGAAGAAATCTGATTCCAGGAAAAAACATTATTTTAAAGAGATCAATCTGGACTGCGTTTCTAGGAGTGTTGTACTACATACATAATTATGTGCACCTTTCAGGCCCCAGTCATTCCTTCTTTCCAGTTGGCTTATGCGAAGGCTAGCCAAGCTTGTATTGCGATGCCAAAGCCAAAGCTGTTTTCCTTCTTCCTGGAACGAGACATAAAAATAAAAGATGTGCCGAGGTTTTATGCAATAGCAAACTTCAAACACCTAAAATACCTGATTTGCACGCCAAGGGAAAATGTGATGTGCTAGTTGCGCCTTTTCTCTCTCTCTGTCTCCCCTTCTGCACACTAGGTGACATAATTCGCATCTTTTTTGGCGCTACACTCTGCGTATATACTGCTCTTGTGTGGCTTCCACGGTATTCATTGCTATTACCTGACGATGGCCAAGTGCCGAAACGTAAAAATAACGGAACTGGTTCGGATGTGATGTGCAGCGCTATGGGAATGGGTGTGTCCACCTGAATTCTTTTCAAAGGGAAAATGATAGCAAAAAAGGCCTCCCAACCTACTAGATCTATGGCCAGACTGACTTCCTTTTAAAATTTCAACCAAATAAAGCAGAACCAGATCTAAGATCTTATTTAGCCTCAGCTTGTTGCATGTTGATTCACTACAACATGCTTTGTGAAATATCCTAAAAAGGCGTTCACTCGATGATGATGCTCCGATTTGTGTTGCTTGGTGACAGGAATAACGTATGTTCACCCGGACTGGACTGCAGTGCAGGCATGAGTTTGCTAAGGATGGACGGGTTCACTAGTGTGGGTGACAATCTAAAAATGATGACATAGTTTCACATTGTGTAATGAGCGATTGAGTGACAAGGCAAACTGGATTTCTCTCATGACTCACAATTGCACAATTAGTAGCTTCAGGGAATAATAATTATATTGAACGATGGCGCCAGCTATGAATAGTGCAATACATAGTGGTTTGTCTAGGAGGAAGTCCGTCTACTACCCTAAGTGTTATTTGTTGTTTCTGCAGGAGGAAGAGGTGCAGGCGAAGAGAATTCTAAAATTCTGGCTTAAAACTGTTTCTGCAGGAGGAAGGAGAAAGTAGCTGGAAAATTCTACTGGAGAAGGAAATCTAAAACTATGTGTTGATTGTTGTTTCTGCAGGAGGAAGGGGTGCAGCCATCAGATAGCCGGCGAAGAGAATTCTAAAATTCTGCCTCATCTTGTTGTTTCTGCATGAGGAAGGAGAAAGAAGCCGGAAATGGCCATCCCAAACCCCGACCACCATCCCCTCCTGGAATGATTACTTTTATAGCCTATCCTGGCTCTGAACTTCACACCTGAAATGATTGTCCTGGAATGATTACTTTTATAGCCTACCCTGGCTCTGAACTTCACACCTGAAATGATTGGTCAACCGGCCTCAGCCAATCAGAGTTCAGGAAGTGTTTATCTTCTTGGCTTGCTGATGGCTGTTGTTTCTGCATTTTCTGCCCGAGGAAAGTTCTACAGGAGAAGAAAATACACATACACACACATACACACACACACACGCACACACGCAAAAAAGCACAAAATGAACAAAAAATGCATCTCTCTGACGTCATAAATCCGGCCTGGTCTGGGCAAGTTAAAGGGGAAGTTAAGGCTAAAATCAAAATTTCACCTGTTGTAGTCTTCGGGGTGCTGAGTCGAATGGTCTTGGTCCGAGAAAGCTGAGACGCTCCCTTCCCACTTTAATCCCAATCGAACTCGCGTACTTCCACCGAAACATAGCCAGCAATCGCATGTCATCACATACATTCTAAATCAACATAATTATGCTAATCGACCTTTTTTTCAGCATCATTTTTCAACGAAGACGAAGCAAAGTCGGCCGAACGAAGCCCAGAGGAAGAAAATCACCCCCTCCACTTCACCATCACGATACTGACATAGATACGAGACGAAACAACTAAAAAATCCACAAGAAAACTGTACGGCCATCTTCGCGCTGACTTTGGTCTGGGTGACTGCGCCCTACTAGATGGGGATTTGTATGCAAAATGTCACTAAAAGCGCCATTTCGTTCTTATAAAAACACGGATGACCGCGATTGGCTCATATGGCCCATACACCAGTCACCTGGTCACCGTGCCTGCAGGGCACAACTTACTAGCCTGTTTGACCTTTTCGGGTGCAGTCCTGTCACTTGAGTTGAACTCGAGTTGAACCTTGGTGTGAAAGTTGTCGCCTGCTGGCGTGGTGACTAGGTGATTTGGGCACCCAGGAACACGTGACCGCTTGTTCAACCATGTTCGATTGGGAATAAGGGCCGAACGCTGCATCGCAGCCTTTTCGGACCAAAACCAGTCGACTCAGCGTCCAAAAGACTACAACATATGGGCCAATCGCGGTCATCCGTGCTTTTATAAGAACGAAATGGCGCTTTTAGTTACATTTTGCATGCAAATCCCCATCTAATAGGGCGCAGTCACCCAGTTTCGGTGGAAGTGCGCGAGTTCGATTGGGATTAAAGTAGGAAGGGAGCGTCTCAGCTTTCTCGGACCAAGACCATTCGACTCAGCACCCTGAAGACTACAACTGGTGAAATTTTGATTTTAGCCTTAACTTCCCCTTTAAAGACGTTATACATGATGTCACCAAATTTAGTGCGAAGCTGATATATTAAACTTGGGAACAGCTGCTCGGATCAACCTGGGACCTTCACCATTGGAATCAGTGCATTTTTTTGTCTTTGACAAATCGAGTGTCCATCTTTTGGGCTGAGGATATTAGGCGGGTGGTACCCGCCTAATATCCTGAGAAACCTACCCAAGGCAGTGGGGAAACGCATTTCCAGCATCTCGGCTGATGAGGCAGTATTCGACAGGGCTGCCCTACTCTACAACAACAACTGCATGCAAGTGGACATGCTGTTAGCATAGAGTACACCGAGACGGAGGAGAAGCAGAGGAAGCGTCAATGAAAGCGCAACATTATCTGGTTTAACCTGCCCTTTTCCAAAGTGTGCTGTGTTCCTTCGCCTCATCAGGCAGGATTTCCCCAGAACATCAAAACTCCACAAAATATTTTTAAATATGTTGTGGAGTTTAAAACCGTAACTCAGTCAAGGTGAGCTACTGTTGCTTGCCAAACGTGGCATTATTAATAAGCTCGCACAACCGGAAGCAGATGACCAAGTATACAGAGCAAAAGCCGTGCAACTGCAGGCCGGCGCTAAGTTGTCCGCTGTGAGGAGACTGCCAATCAGAAGCCATAGTGTACGAGGCAGTGGTGAGCACACAGCGCGATGTGAGAGGCTACTTCGGCTCGACCGCACCCCCTTTCAAGCTACGCCTGGCAAATCACAAGACATCCATGCGCCCCGTCACGTACAAGCACAGCACCGAGCTGTCGAAGCATGTGTGGGGTTTGAAGTCCAAAAATGAAGAGTGCAAAATCCAGTGGAAGATCTGCGAAAGGTCCAGAGCCTACAGCAACCAGTCCAAGAGTGCATAGCGGAGAATACCTGGATAGCACTGAGCGACACAGACTACCTGGATAGCACTGAGCGACACAGACTACCTGGATAGCACTGAGCGACACAGACTACCTGGATAGCACTGAGCGACACAGACTACCTGGATAGCACTGAGCGACACAGACTACCTGGATAGCACTGAGCGATACAGACTACCTGGATAGCACTGAGCGATACAGACTACGCCCTGAACAAGAGAAGTGAGCTGGTCTCGAAGTGCCGACATGCCAACAAATACTGCCTGAAAGATTACACAGGGGCAGCCATCACCTGAAGCATCCATATTCCCTGGGGCAAGCAGCACTGTCTACACACCCCATAACTATAATACCTCATCGTGCTGATTTTCCCTAGTGTGTGCTTACACACACACCAATCAGCACAATAGCCTTGTACGTGTTGTAGCCCGAATTGCTCTTTCGTTTGACCGGTGCTAATTTTCTCTTCTTTGGCCATGTTCTCACCTGCTAGCATTCTCACCTCACCCAGCCAGGCCCTCTTAAAAGATCCCGGCTTGTTCTGGCTGACCCACTATTGTTTTTGCCTGGTGATTGCACATACCAGTGCACAGACCTCTGAGTAGCAAACTGAATTTATGTCGTTTTCTTGGTAACCATTGTTTTCCTTCGGATAGTTTTGCTCTGCCGCAAGTCACTGAGCCCTCTTGTGCAGTGGTTGCTCCCAAGCTTCGTAAATACATGCATACATACATAGATACATGCTGTTTGCGTTATGCAGAGCTCACCGTCAGTTTGTGGGCTGACTTGCTTGACTTCGCCAGCCAGTATACAGGCGTCACAGCCCAGGACAGAGGAATAATATCACATGCAAGAAAGTCTCTCCTATTCCAGGGCAAAAAGACGTGGCCCAAGAACCGCAGCGACAGCCTCTTCGACGTATCTATGAGTTCTTTCGACGGAGCAGAGGTTTGTGAACTGGTTGGCACCCTTATCCTCTCTAAACCAGCTCAGCACGTAGACAAGAGTAATATGAGTCTATACTGCGACGATGGACTCGCCGTGCTAAGGAATACCCCGGCATCATCTGCGGAACGTGTGCGGAAGGACATAACCGCTGTGTTTCAGTCCGTCAGACTGAAGATGACGGTAGAGGTGAACCTGAACGTCGTTAATTACCTAGATGTAACACTCAACCTCGAAACGGGCAAGTATCAGCCGTTCAGGAAACCTGGTGACAACCCTCTATATGTCAACATCCACACTCAAATCACCCTCCTACGATCCTGAAGAACCTACCCAAGTCCATCCAAAAGCGCGTCTCCAGTATCTCGGCGGATAAGTCAGTATTCAGGGATGCTGCACCCATTTACAACGCCACCATCCATGCAAGCGGATATGTGCAGAACACCCAATACGTGAACTCTGCGGATCATTCAAAGAGAAAGAGACAGCGAAAGCTGAATATCATTTGATTCAATCCACCCTTCTCAAAGAGCGTCGCCACCAATGTCGCTGCAGTGTTCCTGTGCCTTGCGGACAAGCACTTTCCGCGTGGCTCTTCCCTGAGCAAGATATTCAACCGCAAATCCGTGAAAGTGAGCTACTGTTGCCTCCCAAACGTCGCATCCGTAATCAGCTCGCATAACCGGAAAGTTCTAGCCAAGCCCCCTGTACAGAAGCCGTGTAACTGCAGAATTAAGCAAGACTGCCCACTGAAAGGTGATTGCCAAGCAGAGGCTATTGTATACGAAGCAGTTGTTATCACTCAGAATGGAGCCAAGGGATATTTCGGGCTCACAAAACACGCTGTTTTGCCAAACCAGGAGTAGGAATGAGTTCACCAAAGAAGCTAAACTTTATTAAAAGTATTTGGATTACACGGTTCTAGCCAAAGAGGGTGTAGCACCCTCCTGTGGAAAAGTGGCACCCCCTACTCTTGTCGATTTTTGTGTTTTTTCATGCCATTCAACGAATATGCAGTTGGTAGTCACTACTGAAGAGTTCATAAAGACACATTTGTTTTGGATGAAGTCGGCTGTAGGGCTTGAAAGTGCTACGTCACAGCATAGCAACAATTTCAAAAATTCAAAAACTGGATCCACTTGGATCCAGTTTTTGTATGGATCCAAGCACATTTCAAGCAGTCTTACCCACAGCATGGTGATGTAGCCAGTGAAACTGACTGATTTGGCTACTGGGGGCGGGGTTACAACTGGTGGCGAAATAAAAGTCACACCTGCATGCGACATGAGTGGGTTGCTATGCACCCACATACTTAGGCAATAGCAAAGTCACACCTTAGTGGATCCAAAAATAGAAATCTGATGTCAACTTACTACTCCCTGGCCGTTTTGACGTCATCACTTTCAAGCCCTATTCACCCCCTACGTTGCATTTTGCATGGCAAGACATTTTTTTTGGAAAGTGGAAAGAAGGGCCACGGGGTAACTGCTTCCCATGCTGATTGACATACACACATTGCCGGGCGAGTTATACCGTAAATAAGCCCACCCTAAATAACGCCCATGTCCGATAATAAGCCCAGTTTTAGGCGGTGTACACTTCAAGTCCGTTTTAGCGCCCATGCCCGAAATAAGCCCAGGGCGTAAAGTGGACTCAAAATGACCAGCGCGCGAGCATTCGTTCACGTACAAACTGTAGAACAGTTTTAGATCGAGTGCGTGCCATCCAACATTCTTGGTTACGACCAAATTTCCAGCTGTGGTTTGATGTACCTGTACCGCGCTCAGTGTGAATGGTGGTTCACTGAAACTAGTGGGTTGCTGATAGATATCTTCTGCAGATTGCGTCCGAAATAACGCCCATGCCCAAATATACGCCCGGTTTTTGACGCTCTGCAAAGTATACGCCCGGGGCGTATTAACGGAATTTTACGGTAATAATTGCAAATCAAAAGGTCTGATTTCTCTAGTCCTCATATCTACCGACAGACAAGAAAAGAAATACGTCTGTTTTGCTTTTAACTTAAACAGTTTCATGTACTGGGCAATCAT